ACTCACTTTTTTTTATTTATTACTTTTTTATCTACTTTGCTTTACTTTATTCAAATCGATAATCAAAAATAGTTACATCTTCTAAAACTAGAATTTTAATTAGCTAGATGTTCTCTTTTGAAATATTTCATTGTTTTATTTATTGAACAACAAATCTATAAACATATACGCGCGCCTATGCATCTATTTTTAACTGTATGTTAATTGATATTATTTTAGCATATTCAATTAACTAATTTATTTTTACTCAAACCAATTTAATTGAATAATAATAATAATAATGCAGTAGTTAATGTTTAATTAAACTGTAATGATAAATGTTTACTCGTTTAATTAGCAATTGCTTATAACTCTATCTATAAAACAATAAGAATAATTGATGAGTTATTGCTGTAGACCGTCTCGTTAATGATTCATTAATAGAGATTGAAATTGTCAGTAATTTGCGGTTAACTCAAAGTGAAATGAAACATTAATTTACATTTGTTAGATACTAAACTTGTTCAAGACTAATGCAGCTTTTGAAGTGATAAATTCAATTTGAATAAATATGACACAGTACAAACTACACAGTTGAATAAACTTTCAAAGCATTTAAGAAAAAAATTTTGTAACGCGATCATCGATGTCCTTATTTGTGGACATAAACTAGAGATGTGCGGTTAACCGAATATCACATGCAGGTGTTTACCCGCAAGGGACAGTCGACCTATTGACTAATCGACTCACTCCCCAGCACTAGTTTTAATATCCAAATTATCTAATAAAAGCTGCTACACAGCTTTTTGACAGATCTAACGACTTCTTTTTATCACTTCCGACTATTTTAACGAGTTAAAGATAACCACCTTGACTGTCAAAAAGTTATTCGCACAACTTGGAAAATAATAAGAGGAAAGAATTATTTTTAGTTTAGTCTCTTTTTAGAGAATTTCAATAAGTCGATTAAAGATAATACTTTTAAATCAAATCATAATAGTATTTCTTAGCATTTCTTGGTTCAAGAATATTTCTCTTGAGTTATTTTCTTTTTTTTATTAGTTTAGGTATATATCCACAAAAAAATTAACTTCATTTAAGAGAAAAAATCTGGAACAAAATAAAACAATTTGAAGGATTTGATTGTCTTGCATCATGGAGAAATATTTCTTAATTCAATGACTTTTTTACTTTTCATTTGATTTCTGTTTTTGAGTTGAATTAATTTTGTTATCAGTATATAAATTGATACTGCTTAATAATTCCGCAATCAAATGAAAATGTGCAGGCATGAAAACAAGAGTAATTTATTCTTTTTATCAGTGAAATGCAAAAAAAAAATAGTTCAGTTTTATGTTAAACGAAAAAATTTTAGAGCTTCGCAGTTGCATTTCTTTTATCAAACCAATAAAAACTTGTTATGCTTTTTTAAAATAGTAACATATAACTTTATATACCTTTTACGAACCCGGAGAAAATATTACGGATACTGTTGTTTGTATAGGTTTATAAAATATCATTTTATAGGATTATTACAACGAATACTTAAAATTATGAGGTTGATGTGCATAATTTTTGGGAAAATTTCCCATAATTAGTGATTTTCAATACAATATGATAGAAACTATTTTAAGTAAATATTTTGATCGTTCTCATATATATAAATTGGTTTTTATATAAAAAGTAGGTGTGTATATCTACTTTTTCTCACTCTTTAATGTTTTAAGCACTCTTCTAACGAGATCTACTCGATTGCATCATTATGAATATTCAAAAATAAAAAGAGTGTATTATGGTCATAACTCAAGACGAAAATAAATGGTAAAAATTATCAAGCTAGTGTTCATTTTTCAGAAACAAAAAAAAGTGCAATTTAAAGTAATATTTGAATATAATAGAGAAAAGTTTAACTTTGTTCAAGGTTTCTTTTGTAATAAAACTTTACTTTTCTCTCTGTCTTTCATTTTTTTTTCTTTACGATATGGAAAAGATTAAATAAACTAGATTTAATTAATGACAGTGTCAACCCAATTAGGAAGCTTTTAAGTTACCAAGGCAGACATTTTTTCTGATTTTGTAGAATTATTTTCTTTTAACTGAAACAGGTAATTAGAATTAGAAGAAAAGTAATTATTTGAAATAATATGTAAAATCAAAAGTGCAAATTAAGAAGCGCGTCCAGCATACGAAAATCTCTTGTTGAATTTAAAATTATATGAAATCAGGTTTTCTTTTCATTCATTCGACACAAAAAAATTATAAAAAATATATGCTGATGCCTATAAAAACTACTTTCTCCAATTCGTATTGTAAATAAAAAAAAAGTGGAATATTTACTTGTGAAAATAAAATTGTTCTTTATTCAAGTATTCACAAGAGTCACAATCATGGTTTCACTGGTTTTATTTTTGATATCATGAATATTTCATCATAAATGAATAATTGTATAAAATTTTGCATCAATATGAATTGAAAAGTTCAAAAAAGTTATTTAGTAATATCTACATTTTAAATGAATATAGAAGTAAAGATAGCAATTTCCAAATATATTATAACAAGTTGAATGAAAAATCGAATAGTGTAGAAAAAATCATTATCTCTAATTCCTCGAATATTGGATTTCCTGATAGTGGCAGATGAAGTTGGAGAGTCACTTTTTACCGTAGTGGTGAAAAAAGGAGTATAGATAAAAATAGAATTAAAAAGAACATATATCGAGTGATTGTGATAGAATTTGAATGTGGTGCATTAACGAGTTTATTTGCGACTGCATAATTGGGTCTCGTTGCCTTGAATTTACTTTAATTCCGAAAAAAAAACTCTAAAAAGAAAACATACAAATAGAAACGTCTGTTAATACACACTGGTACATATCTATACTTTAAAAACCTCAGGATTAAACTCGTAGACACGTAATGTGACACGAAACTTTAAATTACAGCGAAAAAGTGGCAAGCACTTCTAAAAAGTATTTTAACTGCTTTCTGCTGCTTTAAGAATACTTGAGTATTTTAGTTTAAATCGAAAAGAAAAAACAAGAAAACATTGCCTTTTTACTAAAAAATTTTTATCTATATGATGACTTTAATTTTTCACTGTCTACAGTCCATATTTCTTCTTTTTCTTCTTTTTTTTTTTCTAAGTTTTAAGTAATAGCCTTAAATTGCACTTAAAGTTTCACTCAATCATGTTATAAAAAATCTTAACGCGTATTTTTATTTTTTATTAATCTTTATGTAATCCTTTTAATTTATAATTCAAAAATTTAATTCTTTTACGTGACGTGAGTAAAAGCATTTAGGTCGCTTTGTTAGGGTAGAAGCATACATACCCAGTAGTACATACTCACGACATAGTCGTTACGGATCTTTTAATGAGAAAACCTCAACCTCTGATGCTAAAGGAAACGTATATAGAGTAGAGAGCTAACCATACATATTCATGCAAGTGATGATTCAATGTTAAGGCGGGACATTGGTAACGACTTTAATTATTCCACTGCACATTTACGTGTATTTACTATCGTGTATTAGACACGTGAATTTATTTTAAAGACAGTAATCAACTAAATTCAAATTAATTACAGTAATAATTGTTCCAAAATATGATAACTTTGTTTTTCATACCATTTGTGTTCTTCAAGTTTAAGAAAAATTTATTGCGATCACATATTGTTCAAACTTCAAACATTTAAATAAAGTTATTTCATCAATATTGATCTTAAATTTAAGTTTCTAACACTTTTATACTTTAACAACTTTTATTACGAATATTAAAATTCTAAAAGTTTTCTATAATAACTTTTCTAGTTATGAACATTTGAATACATTTAGTTTTATTAAAAAATTATAAATTTATAGAGATGTCATTGAAGTGAAAATAATGTGAGTTAAATTATTCTCACGTTTTTTTTTTTTCAAATTGAATAAAGTTGTAATTAATTTCCGTATTAAATATTATTTTTAATAATCAACAAATATGAAAAAAAAAAAAAAAAAAAAAAAAAAAAAATAGTTTGTAAGCGGAGTTCAGGCTATTTTTAGCAATAAAATAAAAAAAGTATTCATTTTCGACCATGTTTTTTTCAAAATATTCTATTTTTAGTTAACTCTACGAGACTTTCACTGGCATTGCAGTTCCATGAATTTCTTCTGAACAAATAAAACTTTCCAAAAAAATGCTCCGGCATTTGATAAATTATTTATAAATCTACTTTCTAGCAGAGCGCGTTTTTAAAATTTTTTATTTGACAACGCGGAATTTGATTTTTAAATTTCCGTTTACCATGCATACACAAAAAAAATAGTACGGGTTTTCTCATCAAGTCCAAACAGAGAAACAAATAGAAACAGTTCTTGAGAAAAAAAATATGTGATTATCCAAAAAAAAATTTCAAATAATTTTGTCCTTGATTCAAGAGACAAGAATTTTGAACTAAGAATATTATATTAAGAGTTTGATTATCTTTAAATAAGCAGAAAAACTAATAAATATTTCTTGGCTTAGACAAATTTTATTGAATTGAAAAATTTTTCTTCTTGAATCAAAACGATGTAGTGACTTTTCAAACGATTTTCTTGATTGAAAATTTTTTTTTCCTAATAATCGTTAATTTTCTTTTCAGTGTACCCAAAAAAGAGTTGAAAATTTATAAATCTCATTTCTTTGCTCAGAATACTTGAATAATCCATTCATTTTAAAGATATAAAATAACTCAACAATTTGTGAATACCAAGATAAAAATAAAAAAAAAAAATATTTCAATTTCCAGATACAAAACAACAAGAGATAAATATAAAAAGTACTTAGTGAATGAAACTGTTTTTATATGGGATAGTGTGAATGAGTGAGTGAACGGTTGGTTGCAGCTCACTGAATATAACACTAAATTAAGCTTTGAATACCTAACAAATTACCGCATATATATACATAGTATTAAATGAGCATAACAATAAATTCGATATTTATCACACATGTCATGATAATTACATAATTAGTATTTATGAATAAAATAATAAATTATGCATAATAACCCCGCAATATTAACATTACCAGGTTCAGCTGTAGCCATGATAGGGGCTAATTTGCGGTTCGGCATCGGTGCATCTGGTAATGTAACATCCAATGCGACAAAAGTATTCCAGTGTCATCCCGGAGGAGTGACCGAAGCAACTGTAATATTCAGTCTCGGAGCACTCGGAATGGGCGCCAATATAATACTTATGGCTCTGATACTTACCAAGCGTCAGCTTAGGAGGTAATAAAAGCTCATAGCAATACTTAATGTCAATAAAAATTAAATTTATATTTAAAAAAACTAAAAAATTTATCTTTAATTCATGAATAAAATCAAATGTTGGATATCGTCAAGTGATAGAATTAAATAGTTTTTATCGATTTGTTGTATATATATTTAGATAAGGTTTATGAGAGTAGATGTAAGTCTACGTCATATCTATGTTGAGATCGGTTTTATGAAACAATTCTAATGCGGTCGACAGAGATGATAGAACATCTGATGTGACACAGAGGACTTGGATGCTGTCAGAACCAAGCCATGGTCTTATACATAGATCCAAGTGACATGCATTCATTTTCCCTCTTCTATATGTCCTCTCCATTTCCATCCTCATCTCATACTCATTCTCATACAAATATATGTTAACCGTAGTATGCATTTCAAGTAAGCTAGTATTTGTCTATAAACAGTATGTGTGCTTTAATTTAAGTATTTTTATTTGCACATCTTCGACGTACTTTTTGTTACGTAACGTAAGACACAAACAAACAAAAAAAGAAGAGTATAACAATCTAAAATTGGCTTAATGTCGCGACGGCTCTTTTTATCACCTTTTTTGGGGACAAAACAACCATTAAGCTGATAGTGAGGAAAGCTAACTTTGGATGAACAAGCAAGCCAACTTTTTCCTTGTTGTTAGCATTTGATCAACTATTTCTGTTCTTTGGTTCTTAATTCTTGACCTTTGTCTCAAAAGTGTTTATCCCTCCTGGTAAGCCTTGTCCCAAATCGGAGAAAAAATATTCTTGTACTTGGCAACGACTAATTGACAAGTAATAATATGCTCTCGAAAACATTCATTGTCGAAATAGATGTTGCTATAAAAAAATATACTCTAGCGATATTTATGTTTATATTTTATTTTAGGTGGTCACAGGGATTATTATTCCATCAAGCAATGGTGGATTGTGCTAGAGCGGCGATATTATTGCCACTTGGATCAAGTATTTTGAATTGTCAGCCTGTCAACAAGTGTTCATTAGTTGAAACAGCATTTTTATTGCTCGTCACTGTTTCAACAGTCAACATGCTTACGACTGTTCTCAATGACAGTCCAGTTTTTCCGGAAAGCGACGAAGAAGCTGATTTAACAGCTCCGCTTCTCATGGATTCTCCGCAGGTTAAATAGTTTATTATGATCATTGAAACAAAAAGTAATTCATTAAGCAATGTGAATGATTAATTTTAATAAGATTATTATGATATTTCCTCTATCATCAGCCATCTGTTGTTCGGGTAAATGCTGATGATAGATTGAGGTTTACTGATGCACGTAGTCTGACACCTGCGGTGCCAAATCCGCTTACTATGCAATCTATTTAATTTAACATCCCTCAGATAATTATAATATCATTAATAATCAAAAATTATGTTAATTTTATTAAAAATTCATTAAATAAAATTAGTTATCTTGTTTTACATTTAATTTCTCAATTTCTTAATTGATATGGAGTAGCTTTGTTTATTTAATTAATTAATCAGGAATCGAAATGTTTCAAATGCTAACAAATTACAGTGATTATTGAGAAAAATTCACTGATAAAATTTAAATAATGACAAATAATTAATGAAAAAATATATTGCCTGTGCAAAAATAATTTTGTCTCATTAGAAATTTCATTTTTGCACAGTAAAAAATTTTTTGCGAAATTTAACACAAAAAAATATGGTAACGACTTTTTTTTACACACACTCAGTGTCAATTCAACGCAATTTGTGTGTAGCGATTAAGTAATACAGTTCTATGTTTAAAGTAACACAGTTCTGTGTTGAAAATAATACGGCTTTGTGTTAATGTAACATTGAAAAAGTGTTACTTAAATATCGACGGATAGAATTTTTGTGTATTGAAAAACGAATCGATCGAACAATACAAACGATTGTGTTAAGTCAACACACTAAAATGTTAAAATTTAACACAAAAACTTTAACATTTTATACAATGACGAAAAATGTTTTTACTGTGTGAATTTGTATTTTGAAAAAAAAATATAACTTTATCATGAATTTATCAAAAAACCATTTCAATATCTTTACAAAAATGTATAAAATTTTCTTATTGTTGCAAGTAAATATTTTTTACAGAAACGAATTTACGAATAGATTATTTTAATATATTCACTTTATTAGTTCGATATGAATTTCACATTTTTTTTTATAAGAATCTCTATGAAGCTCATTACGAATTACTTTTCGAAATAAAAAAAAAAATATCTTTTGTTTTGAAGACCGAAGCAAAATTCGTGAAATTCAACCCCTTTTTTCCCCCATAAGGTAAAAGCCCCAATAGATGATCATATACTGGTACATGATCATCTATTGGGGCTTTTACCTTATATGTTTGTAAAAAAATAAAAACATTTTTGTAATAAATTCATTATGAAATTATATTTATATCAAAATATGAATTTAAAAATGAAATTCATCAAGATCACGATATAACATTTTTTTTTGCACGGGTGATAATTTATTAATAATTCTGCAACGTTCCTGATCAATTATTATAAAACACCGACATAAATATTTTTAAATAAATTTTTTACAGTGTGTACTTTTTGGTACTTTTATGATATGGTTTGCTAGTATCACAATAAACCTTGGTCCAACTTTTCTGAGTGGTGCACTTGCTGCTAACACGGAAACTAGTCATAATGCACCGAGCTGCCCACTGGTACACGGCCCATTCCGACATTATATTTTAAATGTTCTCTGGATTGCTATAAATATTATATGCGTCGCACTAACATTATTTCATCTGAGAAAATTGCACAGAGATCTGACAAAAGCCAATGTTGAAGCCGTGAGTTTTATAATTCGAATTCACTAATTTTTATTCATTGGGGACGGTCGAATATTGTATTAATCAAGTTAAATATTACTGATTGATTCAAAATTCAAAATTATTCAAACATTAATGAATAATTCGTAATTTTGATATATTCGCACATCCCTGTGATTAATTTAGTTTTATCTCACGTAAATATATTTATATTTTTGAGGTATTTACTGCTAAATATTTTATCGTTTAGTGTTGAAATATATTGGTTTTAATAGAAGAGGGCAGATAAAATTTAAATATATTTAAATTTCTTGTATTTTCATCAGGTTCGGGTCGCCGGTCTTGTCACGACACTCGTCAATGTCACAGGCGGTCACGGTGGAACGAACGGAGTCGCAGACGGTGGAACCGCAGATCAGAGAAATGGCACAACTCCAAAGGTACCAAACAGAACGAAAATTTTTTAAATAAATATAAAAAGAAATCTGGTATCATTCGATTAAACATCGTAAATTCCAAAGGCCAATAAATTATTCCATATCATCATATTCTTTGCTTCTTATTCTTACGAATAATCGTGATAAAAATCTTATAAAATACGTGACTGGAATGATAATAAGTAATTCAGATTTAATCGACAAGAATATTCGACAAAGTGACATTTCGTAATATTTTTTAAGTGTCAAAGAAAAAAGAATACTTATACACTGATAAAAAAATTTATTTGATTTGAAATCATCAAGTTTTTCAAAATTATATTTTTAATTGAAGAATTTTTCTTTTGAATCAAGTTAATTTTGTCAGTGTATTAAAAAATTTTGCTATTACAGGTTTGTAATTAAATAAAAATAAACAAATAAATGTAAGCATATAATACCACTTGTACAAAGTTGAAGCATTAAACAATACTCTTTAATTAATGATGAGTGTCGTAATGAAAACTCCTAACAACATCATGAGTAAGTAAATCGACAGCGCGGCAATAGAGCAACGATGAAGTAGTCACGATAATTTCCAGTTCAGTGAATTACTAGACATTAGTGAAATAACTCAACAATAAAGCAAAACAAAAGAGTAGAACTATCGATCGTTGAATTGTTTCAGAGAGGTGGTGCATTAGAGGAGCATCGGAAAATGAGAAATTATCTAAGGCGAATGGAACGTGAAGGAGTTCAAAGAGTCAAAATGTTCTTAGTTATAACAGCAGCATACGTTATTTTTTGGGGTCCTTTATTTTTTGTGACTCTAGTACATCACCCGGTGATTGGAAACACAACTGGATATGAAGTAATTTAAGTTGATAATTGATAATAATAATAATAATAATAATAATAATAAAAAATATTTTAAATTTCATTTAATTGAAATTAAAATGCAATTTACTTAATAAAATCAACTTAAAAGTTGCCAAAATCTATTTCCCGCAAACTTTTTCTATTTTTATCCAAAGGTCACGCTACACATTGCCTACATTCATGCTTTTGTCAACCCCGCTTTGTTTCTAACTCTTCACCGAGGACTTCGCCAGGGTATTTCGGACGTATGCTGCGGTTGCTGTGAAAGTTTTGCACGATGGATTTTAGGATCGGCAATGAACACACCAATACAATCAGTACAACCACCAAGGTATGAAGGACCATTGAGTGTTCCATCACCCCTGAATCCACTACCACCCCCGCCACCACCGATATCAGCCACTGCTGCTGCATCTTTGGATTTGAGCGATGTTGCTCTTTTGAAACCTCCATTGCCTCCAGCAGCTAAATATCTTCCGGTAAACATTTTTTTTTTTTTTCGTTTATAAAATTGTATTATTATTCATTTCTACTATCAAAAAAAATTAACACAAAAAAATTCTACAATTATTTTTTTAATTCCTAAAATAGAAATAATAAATAAATAGTCTTGTAATTATTACAGCAAGATGAGCCAATTACGATATCACCTGACCCATGGAGTGTTGTAATACCTCGACCCAAAAGCATTGTGAGCTTATATGAAGAAAAATTATCTAGAAGACCCAGCTTGGTACTTCCAGTTATGAACGACATGACAACGGCAATTAGTCCGACAAGTAGTGATTTACCGAGTGATTAATATTACTACGTAGATTAGATACTAAATTAATTAATTATAGAATTACAAAAAAAAAAATAAATGTAACAGTATTCCTGATAAATTTTCGAAATTAGTTGTCATCGATGCAGAATATTTTTTTACAATGTATTTAAATTATTAAAATATTTCTCTCATGCTATTTCTTCCATAATAAATAATAATCATAGAAAATAATTAATAAGAAAAATATTAAAATATAATCGATAATTGACCTAAAGTAACTAGTAATGAAGATTTGTGAAAACTTTTTTCCAAGACATGTCCTTACAGACTGATTTTTGAAACCTGCATTTAATTAATACACTTTTCTATCTAACTCATGTCATCTCTGTCTTTCATACTTCAATTTTTCGCAAAGTGTCTTTGTCTCATTGCTTTAAGAAGACACCGAATTTCATAAACGAATTTATTATCAATTAAGTTTAGAGTTTTTCTAAAACACATACTAAAAATAAAATGATCGATTATTTGTAGTTATTAAATTAATGCTTAAAAATATTATAAAAATATCTTTTAGCGGTTCCGGATATTGACAGTAGATATTTAATAATTAATAAAATAGGTATTTAGTCAATAGCATGAAATTTAATTAATTCTTAGATCATTTTTATAAATAATTTAACGCTTCATGTAAATTTATACCATCAAAACTATGTCCATTCAACTAAATATCGTATAGCTGTAATTATTTAATAATGATAAATTGAAAAATATATATACATATATGATAAATTTACATGTAAAAGGTAAAGCACAAAATCTAAATCTATACGAATAAAATAAAAAATAAATTCATATTAAAAGTTATTGTAAAATAATTTAACATTATTTTTGATTCTGCAATCATATCAACAATTTACAACCAAAAATTTTTTTATAATAATTTTTCAAAAAGTTTAATACCCTAAGGCATTTAACTTGTATCCAAATTTTTATTATGCATCTGCTAGAAATGAAATTTAATTTCCATATTATTGATTGTTATATTCTACAATTTACATAATGATATTTTAAATATTTATCAAATATCTTACATTATTAAACTTTTTGAATAATTTTAATAAAAAAATTGCTGTATGTACATATATATATTATTTATGTAGAAAAAAAAAAACGTTCATTAATAAGTGATTAAAATTTTTTTAAATTTATATAATATTTCAATAAATAAGAATCAAATAGACTTATTTATTAAATAAGTATATTCAATTAATAAATGATTTAAAAGTTTGAAGTAATTGCTCATTAAAGTATTCCGCCCACCGAAGTGTAATATGAAAGAAATTTTTTTAATTAGAATAAAAAAAATTATGAAAATAAAATAGATATTCATCTGTGTTTTTTTTCAGCACAAAAAAAATCGTTTGTCGTTGTATAAAACAAAAATTATCACGTCCAATTTAGAAGTGCACTTCCGAAATAAAAATCCGTTGGGTCCATTATAACTCGTAAGTTTATATAAAGTAAAGAAAACAAAAAAAAACAGTATGAGTCAATTTTTTTCGTCTTTTTTAGCTAAAAAAATATTTATGATCCGTATTAGTTTCCCTAATCCTTCAAAAATAAAATCTAAGAATAACTTTAAAAATGAACTGTCATCTAACGCAAAAAATGTATAAATATTTGTGTTATTTACGAGAAATGTACCGACTAAAATAGTTAATAACAATTTTATTGAAAAAAAAAATCTATATATATTTTTTTTAGGCACATGAATTTGTTAAAATAAATATTGTATTATAATTTTAACAACAAATAATCAACACATAATTAATAATCATCGCCTCGGTGGGTTAATCAGGCCAAAAAGTTTGAAATTTAATGATTTTAAAATAATATAGTCTGATAAACAAAATAAAATAAATATTTAAACAGAATAAAATAAAATAACCTGCGATTGAAAATTAATGCTACGTAATATGTGCCTAAATAATAAACAAAAAAAAAAAAACTGTCTTCTGAATCTATAGAAGCAGGTAGAATAAAAAAAAAATCATTTACGTTATTGTATTATCGACATAATAATTACGAATATATATAAGATCTGACTAAGAAGAAGTATAAATACTAAGCAAACAAAAAATCAACTAAGAAAATAAGTAGTGTAAATATTCGTTAACAAAATATATATGTACACTGAAAGAGTATGTCAATAAAATATAAATATAATATGATTAAAAATTCTTCAGTGAACATAACTTTATTTCCTCTATTGATTTACTTGTAACTTAAAATAATAATGAATGTTTATTTAGAATAAATTTAGTTTTCATCTAAACTTATAACTCACAAGTAAAATAGAAATTGAAAAAGATTTCTTGATAAATTATTTAGAGCTTAATAAATAAGTAACGGAATTAGTACTTTATTCCAATAGCAATTATGTTCTAAGTTTGGTCGTTAATTTGATCAAGATAATTACTAGTGAATTAAGTTTTGATACTTAATTTTTAATAATTCATTTCAGACAAAATTTAGAGTCGTTATAACGACGTACTTTAATTAAACTTGTTTCACATGGTATTAATTTAAAATTTATCCATCACCTTTTAAAAAAAAAAAAATATATTTCAACTTACTTGTTCAAAGCCTCCGAGAATTTCTATTGTATCCATTGCTGAGTTGACGGCGATTGACCGCAATTTTTGTCCTGCTAGCTGAGCAAGTACACGAACAACACTACTTTTTCCTGTTCCAGATTCTCCAATCTATCAACAAATTCATTAAATTTATTAAATAATTAATATTTATTATTTATATTAAACTATTCATGATAAAAATTTAAAAAAAAAAAAAAAAATTTCTATTTTTAAAATTAAAGTATAGAACATCATAATTATTTTAACTAATAAAAAATAGTTAATAAATGAAATGAAAAAAAAATCTACTTACAAGAATAGGCATCCAATTCATTTTAACACACAGAGCAAGACTTTTGAGCACCGGAATTTGATTTCGAAGCACAAGTAAATTATGATCAACACAGTATGAATTTTCACTCCGGGGTAAAATTATATTGTCAAAGTATAAATTTTCTTCATCAACATGTATGTAGGGTTGTTTGTTTACGTAAGATTGCAATTGAAGCACATTACGAAATAATTCTCTCACCTAAAAATAATTTTAAAAAATATCAAGAATGTTATTAGTATTATTTATGGAAATAATATACTGAAAAATAAAAAATTTAAAAGTCACTTACTTTTTCTTTATCATCTGCAGTACGCATACGATCAACATAAATTAATTCAGTAGCCGTAATTCGAGCGTCTTTATAACTAGACATTTTCATTTCATAATATAATTCACACCATCGTGTAATATCTCGTAAATTCATTTCCCAAGGAGAGCCATGATATCCCCAAAAAACTCCAGCTTCTGTTGATATTACTGAATTAAATTCGATAATTTTATCAATTATCGTTTTATCGACATATTTAAATTGGCTGTTGGCAATAATTTTCAAATCATCATCCGACAATGCATCAACAAACACCTGAGTAAATCTATTGAGGAAAGATTTAGGTAACCCCCGCCTTGCTCCACCTTGACTAAGAGGATTTTGGCAAGCGAATAATTTTGTTCCTGGTTTAACCACAAATGAACGAGCGAGCTCCGGAATATAAACTTCACCGCGATGATCAAGGCAAGCATTTAAACCCTCCAAGACTGATTGCGACGCTAAATTCAACTCATCGAGTAGTATCCAATCGCCTGCTCTTAATGCTCGTAAGAAAGGACCATCTCTCCAGGCAAATTGTCCACCTTTTCCTCCTTCAACTGGTAAATCAGCACCAAATAAATCAGATATATCGGTTTGGTCACTTAAATTTATTCTCAGTAAATTATGTCCAGATGCTTTCGCGATAGCCGAAACAAGACTTGTTTTACCAACTCCGGGACTTCCTTCTAACAAAAGTGGTTTTTTTAATTGTAGTCCTCGTAAAATTTTCAATTTATTGGATTTAGTAGTGGGAGCATCAAATGTAAAACTTGTAACAGAATATTTTCCATTAGGCCCAGTAGGAATGTAAAACGGATCGATGCCAAACATATCTTCTCGTTCATTTATATTTTCCTCACAAACAGTATGATCGTAATTCTTCAATTGGTTAATAAATGGCTCTAAATATATAAAAATGCTCTTTTTAAATGCTTCTAATTTATCTTTACTCTCTGTACCAGTAACTCCGGAACCCAAACCATCGAGATAAGTTAGTCGAGCTCCTTCAATAAATGCTACTGAACTTGTTAATTTTGAATTACTTGCATTGCGGCAAAACTTAATAAAGTTTACCCAAGTTAAAATGTCTCTTACACTTACTACAAATTTTTTACCTATACCAGAAGACTTGAAATAATTTATAAATGCTAATATAGAAGTAGCTATATCTTGATTTTCATTTTTTATTTCTTCAGGTCGTAAGTTGTACTCAATAATATTACGGAGATCATTATCAGAAACACAACCTTCGCACCAAATTTCTGTAAATCGATTACGTAATGCAGGCGAAAGTTCTTTTTTACCGTAATCACCGCCGGGATTCATTGTACCAATAAAACAAAAATCTTCATGTGCTGTGATTCCACAATCAGCTTGATTTTTATCGATTGAATCGTTATTCTTTTCTGCCAATAAAAGTGTACGTTCTGGTTCTAACAGTGAGTTCATTCTTTCAAGTACACTATCATCAGCGAGAGAAATTTCATCAGCTAAAAATAAATCACCATTTCGCATGGCAGATATTAATGGACCATCAACCCATTCAAATAATCTTTGATTATCTTCCGTGTGCTCTCTGACAGGTCTTAAGTTACCCAAAAAATCTGATGACTCTGTATTCATGTGACAATTAACACTGTAAAGATTTTTAGCTCTTAGTACTGCAGCTAGTTGACAAACTGTCGTTTTTCCACCTCCAGTTTCACCAACCAGTAAAATAGGTTCTTTGAACTGACAAGATTTAATTACCAGAACAGCCATTCGTCTCATTTGATACGTCCAAACAATATGCTCAAATCCTGGCATGGGTGATCTTTCAATACTCTCAAGTGTTTCGAGTATTGATCTTGTTTCAGGAGATGTTTTTTCATGAAGAGTAAATAAATTTTCTGGATCAACAACACATTTAAAGTGTTTTTTAAGCACTTCGATAATTTCTTTAGCCTCGTCGGGTTGACGAACTTTCGAAGCAAGCACAAGATAGCCTTCGTCAGCAAGTAGTTGTTGCCAATCATAGTTTTCAGACTGATTAGTAATCGTTTTAGTTTTTTTGTCAAAAACTTTATTAACTTCTTTAGCTTTGTACCTATCACCCCATCTAAATAAATCACGCAACGTAATAAATCCGTGTTTACCCATAAAAGCTGCTGTATTTTTTCGTCTCAATTGTAAATCTTTCATAACATTTATCATAATTTTACAATATTTTGTGGGTACATTGCATTTATTTTCTAAAATAATCTCTAAATCAGTAGAAGGTATTTCGTCAAAATGAAGCTCAACAAAACGATTTCTGAATGCTCGTGATAAAACTTTACGACCACCATAAACACCTGGTGGATTTTGCGTTGCAAATAACATAAAATTATTATGCGCTTTAATAGATTCTTGCGTTTCAGGTATGAAAAGTTCTCGATTATCATCAAGAACACGATTCAATGCTTCTAAAACATCACTTGGCGCTAAATTTAACTCATCTAAAATAATCCAATATCCTTTACGCATTGCTTCAACTAAAACTCCTTCCTTAAACACAAGCTTTCCTGTTTCATTAGCTACATAATTTCCGACATACTCTTGAAGGTCCGTATGTTCGTGATTATTAATACGAACACATACATGCCCTGATGCTTTAGCAAGATATTTTATTAGACTTGTTTTACCAACAGATGTATTACCTTGAATTAATACCGGCATTCTACTTATTGCCACAACTCGAGCAAGATCACGTAAATTTTGCTTAATAGATTCTGTAATAATGTAATCTTTTGGTTTTTTAGGGTCCAAAGTGCCTCGTGGTACCCAATAAGGTTCAAATTTAATAAAAACATTATTTTTCGTACTAGGATTTGGAATCGGAGTTTTTAATGTTTCTTTCCACGATTTAGTATGTATCATATTTTTAATCAATTGCTCTACAAGTTTGTAAGAAACACTATCTAATTGAGTTAAAAAACTAAGACAAAATGATTCGTAAAGTGATCGTAAAGCACAACCAGACTTGAATGAAACGGTTACACTCAGTGCCCGACACAATGTACGTAAACTGTAATGCGGTGTATGACCAGTACCATCATATAATTTATTTACAGCATCCTTACGAACTTGTAGATAAAATTTAACAATATTATTCAAAATAGTTGGTTCTAAATTTAATCCTTCGAGATATGATATGACCAGTGCCTGTAAATCTGATTTCTCTGTTAACTCATCAACATAAAATTCAGTAAATCTATTTCTTAAGCCGATTGGAAGTTCTTTTTTTCCAACATCGGTAGCAGGATTCATACAAGCAAAAATTTTAAAATCTTTATGCCTTTTAATAGATTCTTTATCACCACGTTCAAATAAAGAGAGTGATCCAGTTGATCCTTCTAATAATCCAGATAAGCACTCAAGTGTTTCTGATGATGCTAAATTTATTTCGTCAAGAAGGACCCAGTAGCCTTCTTGTAAAGCTTTGATTAAACTACCTTCTATAAAAGCAAATGCTAAAGATAGTTCCGTTTTTAGTTGTGATTTTAATTTGTCCAGTTTCATGTTTATTTTTTCCCACTGAACTAATTTTTTTTTATTAGTTTCTAACTGTTTTTGTACATTACCATCGTCACTTTTTCTTTTTGTTCCAGTTTTGATTTTATCTATGTCCCCGCGGAGCCTTTTTAGAGCTGCAGTTGCACTGTGACTCATCAGAGTGATTAATGTTTTCCAGTTTCCTTCCGTATAAGCAGTACCCAAGTAATCAAGAAATTTTTTATTAGGTATAACTGCAAAATACGCACGAAAAAGCACTTCAAATTCTTCTCTGATTGGTTTAATTAAATGTTTTAGATCTACTGGTTTGTATCCTCCCAATAAATCTGCACTTTCACTTTGTTGGTTCATGTTTATCACAATAAGTTTATGACCTGCCTTTTTCGCTAAATACTGAATAGAGCTAGTTTTTCCTGTACCTGTTTCACCAACTAATAAAACAGGTTCATTTTGCATTATACAACAGGCAACACGTTCTAATAAAACTGCAGATGGTCTTGATTTAATAGTGAAATTATCTTTTGTTTTATCATTCTGCACAGATCTGTTTGTATTACGATTAATCACAGCTCGTCCAACTGTGAAAACTTTATCATCATTAGATACTTCAATCGTGCGAGTATTCATCATACTCTCAGTTTCAGTTTTTACAATTCCCAAAATGTGTCCAACGGCAATAGCAAGATCAAGTCTTTTTTTGGTGTCTGGTACAGAACAACAAAAAATATCTACAGCGTCTAAAAGAAGTTTACGAGCAGTGTACTCTTGTGAAACATTGAAATTAACAATCGATCGAGTACACCACTTAATTAAATCCCTTGTAGAAATTAATCTTCCAGCTGTTGATAATTTTTCTTCTGTTTCATCTTCAGCCCCGTGATCTCCCATTGAAAATAGTAAAAATACATCTATTATTTTAGTTGCTGTTGTTGTTAAAACAGGAAAAAGAGTTTTAACAACGGTAATTAATTCATCTTTAGTCAGAGGATCCATGTGAACACAAAGCCAATGTTTTCCAAGTAAATTAGTAGCATTTGCAGACTGTCGAAATAGTCCAGATGCCGAAGAAATTAATCGTTGGGTTACAAATAATTGAAACCCACTCTTGGTATGAATTGTATCACGGTATCCTGGTACCGACAAAGTACCAGTTTCCATTAAATTACTTAAAACACTAATAACATCAAGAGCCGCACTATCAATGTCTTCCAGAAGCAACCATTTCCCACTAACAACAGCTTGAGTAAGAACACCAGGTTGCCAAACAAATTCTCCTGGAATATCTGTGCATCTATAAGTTCCTAACAGCATTTTTGAATCAGTTTGTTCTCCTAATTGAACTTTTATAAAATCAGACGGTCCACGTCCTGTTACTTTAGCTAAATATTCAACTAATGCTGTTTTCCCGCAGCCAACTGGTCCTTGAAGACAAACACACTTTCTTGAGGCAACTGCCAGAGCAAGACTTTGCAAGTTAGATTCCATTGATGGAACTGGAACTAAGGAAGACTGTACACGATTAGCTTTATCAAATACTGGAAGCAGAACTCCAGCGATGGAAACAAGAGAGTCAGAGTCTGCGACAGTTTTTTCTAATTCTTGTAAATTACTGTCATCAGTTGTAAGTAATTGTACAATATTATTATCATGAGTATTGTGATTAATTAAAAATTGATGAAAATTAGGAATTAATATCTTAGCACATGCCATTTTTGTGGATTCTGACATGTTTAATACGATTCCGATGCATTTTAAAGCTATCCATTTTAATTGATCATTATCTTCGGATAAAAAATTATAAAATACAGACCAATTCCACTTGTGCTTGAAATGATTTGAAGCAACGCATAAAATATTATAAGTCGCAACGACTATATCATAATCAGATACATCTTGAACTTTACATGACACGTGATGGCTTTTAAATTTTTTAGCCGGAGTTGATTCAACAGCAGTTGCAAAAGGCTCTGGATAAACCTCAAAATATCGTAATGTAAATCTGAAAAATTAATTTAAAAAGTTAGTATAATTTACTTTAATACAATTAATGATAAATAATTACCCCAAGACATCCGGGTTGATAGATATTAATTTTCCAAGAATGACACAATTCAAGCGATGTAACTGTGGATTTGACTCTGCGTTTAATTCATTGCATTCTATAGGAATAGCATGTGACAATAAAAGAATTAAATACTGAGGAAAAAACTCTGCTACACTTTGGACATGGTTTTGATCCATTAAAACGTGACAGGATAATTTTGCTATTACTTCCTTGCAATCATTTTCGTTTAAATCCTATAAACAATTAAGCAAAAATATAACAATAGCATTATAACTGTTAAAAAATAATATAATTTACAAACAAAGTATTGTTATTTTAAATAAAAATTTAAAGCATGTTTATTATAATATTAAAGAATAAAATCTTACCTCCTTGTTTATATATTTTGAAAATAATTCTTTTAAACTGTGAATCGAAGAATTTTTAGAGTAAAACTCTTTGAGATTCTTTAATAAACCTTTCATTATTATATAAATGAGTTGTCGTCCGTTTTAATAACAAATAACTAGACCGGTACTCCAAAAGTTAATACTTAGGTTATAACAATCAAAAAAGCACGTGTTATATACTCCTTAACAGGTTAACGTTTTAAAGTTCAATTAATTACACGCATGTTATGATGGTCGTGATCCTGCGCAAGAGAACGACTCATTTAAAGGTGAATTTTCACAGTCAAAGCGTCAAAACAAATTGTGTGAATTCTATTGGTAGATGGCTAGTATATAATTTATTATCAACCAATCACAAACTCTTTGGGTGACCTATGATGTACACTTACGGAATGACAATGCTATTGGTTCAGAAAACTCAAGAACAAATTTTAAAATTATTCACAACATTAAAGAAAATTCCAAAAAATTTTATCACTAAAATTAAAAGACATTTGTGAATTTCTTAAATTCTTATAACTTATAAATGATTATAAAAAAATTTTAATGGAAAATTTCACATCTAGAAATAAAAAAAATTTACAACTGCAAATTTATTGAAAAGCTAAAACAATTTTTTAATGGCAATGCAAAATTTTATGAAAATTAAGTTAGCCGACATTTAAAAATTTTTAGAATTTTTTTTTATTGAAAAAATGATTACGAAAAAATAAAAAAAAAATTTTCACTTGTAAAAAACTTTAAAAACTGTAAGTGTAATTTTTAAAAAATATTTTTTTGTTGTAATTTAATTATTAAAAAAAAATTACAACGTTAAAAACGTCGGCTAACTTTAGTATAAAATTTTTAACCTTTTAGTATTTTTAAATAATCCTTATTTACATATGATAAATCGTTTTGAGTTAAGTTATATAAAAAAATGCATATTAAATCGTATAAAAAATTTTATTATTAATTAATTAAATTAAAATAACATTAATTTATAATAATTATTTGAAGACTATTCTAAAATTTCGGGATGTCTCTTGAATTCTTCACTAATACTTTTTTCAATTCCTAAAGAAGTAAAGTTATCTGCTGTGACATTAAAACTAACATAGACAGGCATTCCACATTTTTTTGTAAGTCGTTTAGCAATATTTGAAGAAGACGAATCGTCAGTGGAACCCACTAATTTAGTAGCTACTGGTAGAGAATCATAAACTGACATAAATGCATACGACAAATCAAGCATTTTTTCGTCATTAACGTGTCCAATCCATAAATACAAACTTGTCGGCAATCTTATTGTCTGACAAGCAAATTTAGCCTCACCAACTTTTATATCAAAGTCATAAAATTTAAATGATGAAGGCAACAATTCATTACCATTGTTTACATCCATTTCTGTTATGTTTATTTTCCTGTAATAAACAAATCAATATTATTAATTGAATGTACGTATTTTTATATTTTAAGTAAAATTTATAATACTTACTGACAGCAATTGGATATTAATAATAATAATAATAAAATAATAATGGTTGAAATACAATATTAATTATTTTAATAACTACTATAATAAATTTAATATCACCGTTTTTAATAGCAGGTTCATCACACGTGTGTTTTAGCAAATCATCATCAACAAAACCAGCCTATCATACTGAAATAAAAGGTTTCTCCATTAACGTCGATTGGTACTGACACTTTATTGAATAAATAAATTACATATTATTTTTTTTTAATTATAAAAATTAAATAATTTATAGTAAAAATATTTAAACTATACCCACATCTAATAAGTAACGAAATATACAAATACATTATATATATTTTTATTTATTTATTTCAATTTAGAATTTCACCAATAAAAGTATTGGAAAATAATCATTTTAAATATTAATTCGTCTCGCGGTCTCGCGGAAGTTCATAAGGAAATGTAGAGAGAAATTCCGTGATTTTAGTTTCGAGAACCCCTCTATCTATAACCGGGCTACGCAAGCGCCGCGAGATCTTCTGGTTAGAGTATCCATTTTGATCACATGTAAGTATCTCGAGCTGTTGCTGATTTTAGTGTTAATTAATTGTGTTAATAGCTTCATAAAGCCGGAATTTTTTAATTATTACTAAGTGAAGTAATTAGATAATTTTTATAATTTATCAAAGTGTTTAGCTAATAATTTACATACTTTATTAATAACTATAAATTTTGATGACAACGAACTCGCTGGCAATGTGGCTGTACGCTCTTTCGCGCCATCTTCACTTATAATTTTCTTTAAATAATACAATTTAACAATTAAAATCAATGTTAAAAATATCGTTAATTGATTGGAAATATTATTAAAAATATTTGTTGTATATTTTGTCAATAATTGGAGTCTTGGCAGGTCTTGGATGCCGTACTCATATTCTAGTTGTTGGTTAATTCCAATTGCCTCCGTGTCTCTTGGAATCGTGCTCACAATTTATACAGCTATTTAATTTTCTTTTTTCATTTTTTAATTCCTCTAACCTTCGTTATTGCTAACGGTAACTACAAAGCTTCGTTGACTATAAATCTAATTCTTAGAGTTGAAAATTTATTATGTTTTAACTGAGTTTTATTATCGGCGTTTTATCGACAATATGCCACATGGTTTCGCTAACATTTTTTTTTAACACAAAGCATAGGCGCTTAGATTTCACTTATCGAAATATTCTTAACAGTTTATTTATTTACTCAAGAATTACTACATTGCCCGCGAGTAGTTTTTTTCTCTCCATTTACTATTGACATTTGAATAAAGATATTTTTCGAGGCTGCATGAGTCATGTTTAAGCTTCTAAATATTAATATTATTTTTTCCTTTGTCATTGTTTTACATTTTTATTTATATATTTTTGTTTTTATATAAACAATTTTATTAATCCAACTTACTAATGAATAAATTAATTTATTTTTAGAAACTTACGACATAATTAAAAATGGGAGATATCGAGGATACTCACTTCGAGACTGGAGACTCCGGTGCTTCAGTAACTTTCCCGATGCAATGTTCAGCATTGCGTAAAAACGGGTTTGTTATGTTAAAGGCTCGTCCTTGTAAAATTGTGGAAATGTCTACTTCCAAGACTGGTAAACACGGTCACGCCAAGGTTCACCTTGTTGGAATCGACATATTCTCCGGAAAGAAGTATGAAGATATCTGTCCCTCAACACACAACATGGATGTTCCATTTGTCAAGCGAGAAGACTATCAGGTAATCAAAGGATATGATTATTTACGAAAATACTTTTTTACTTATTCACAAATTGAACTTTAACAACTTTTTTTTTTCCTTTTTTTTTTTTAAATAGCTAACAGACATCTCAGACGATGGATATTTGACTTTAATGGCTGATAACGGTGATCTTCGTGAAGATCTTAAGATTCCTGACGGTGACTTGGGAACTCAATTGCGTAGTGACTTCGATGCAGGAAAAGAATTACTGGTATGTATACTATTTTTTATTATCAATCTATTTTCGTAGTATAAAAAGTGACGATGTATTTTAAGATGTGATTTTCGAAAACTTTAAATTCAACAATATTTAGTAAAAAATTTGTTATTTTTACTCAAAAAGACATTTCAATCATAACGATAGAAAATGAAATGAAATTTTTTAATTTTAATTTTTTCAGTGCACCGTATTGAAAGCTTGTAACGAAGAAGTGGTAATTGCCGTCAAAACCAACACTGCTCTCGACAAATAATTGTGTTCAGTTCCACCAGCACACAACTTAACCACCCATTTAGCTAATCGTCATCTAAATAATTATTGGTAATAGAAAACCAATAAATTATCAACCATCAGTATCTCAAACTGGAAAGAAGAATCAATAATTATAATAATAATAATAATAATAATAATAATAATAAAAAACAATTTTCTATCTAAACAACACCTTGATAATTACTTACCAAGAGATCAAATGCTAATTGGGTACTATTTATTATCGAAGAAAAAAAAATAACATACTAAAAGTTTTCAATGTATAAAAAACATCATTATATCAACGTAAGATTGTTTACGATTGATACAAGGGGAGAAAGACATATTACGAAATACACACATACACACGTTGTTTGTTATATAAAAAGATAAGACGATAAGCTTTTCATTCGAGGGTTGATTAAAAAGTATGTAATAAAATTTGGAAAAGCCTTCACACTTCCTTCATTTTTTTTTACTCTTTTAAACATTTACTCATTTATTAAAACACAAATAATAATACTTTATAAATAATTACATCATCACAGTAATCATTTTTTGTAGTTTAAGGTAACATGTTTATTAAAGTGCATGAGTCACTTATGCCAAGCGAAATCGAATAATTATAACTAGAAAAATAATTAAAAAATAGACTGCTGTCAGGAACAATTTTTCATGCGAAAAATAAGCAATCACAAAAAACTTTAATTTATCTCAGGTTGGCTTAAATACGGGATTAATTGTCAATGATATAATAAATAAATGAAAAAAAAAAAAAATAGTACGAAGCTTTTTTGACTTCCAGTCATCGAGCCAGTAATATTAAAACTTAAAAAAAGACGCGATGAATAGAACTAATTTTTTTTTTATATTCTGCACAGAAAGATACTTTGTCTTGAGCTTTTGTATTAATATATTGTAACTTAATTAACGTTCAAACCGCTGAGTTATAGAGGAAAAAAAATTAATTTTTTATTAATTTACAATCGGGTCTTTGTATCCTTGGCCTATTGGACCCAAGTTAAAGAAAATTTTGAATAGTTTATTCTGTGACAGAATTGTGAAAAGTATGCAAGTTATAAGAATATTTTTACATATAAATTTTTGGTAATTAATGATGAATGGATTTTACCTAGAATTTATGGTCTACTTTGATACATGGAAAAGTTTTTTCTCCACAGCTTATAAATAATATGAAAAGTTAAAAAAAAAAAATAAATAGATTAGTGATAGTGGAGTAAGCACATAATACTTACAGCTACCTGAGTCCAATTAGATAGTTTTCAAATTAATAAAATATATAAATCTAGTTGACTGTTTCTTAACACAATTTATTCAAAAATCAATTTAGTTGAAATAGATAAATTAGAAATTTAAATTGATTCGTTTCTTTTTGTCGTGTCATTGACGAATTAATATTAGTTGCTTCTCTTCTTTTGCAATTTTTATTTGTATAAAAAATTGTTCCAAGCAATACAAGATAAAATATTTGAGACAAAATATATAGTTATAATGTTAATGACAATAGCAAATTAGTAACATCAATCCTGATTTATAAAAACGTGAATATAAACGAAATTTTATTAAAAAAATCAAAGAACATATATATATTTCTTTATATTTTCCTCCGAAATTTCGAAACACATTGTGATTTAATAAGACTTATGAATTACTCCGGCTATTATTATTATTGTTATTATTATTATTATTATTATTCGATTAAATAATAAAAGAAAACAAAAATCTTATGATAACGTAATAGTAAAAAAAAAACTACTATCTGTATTACACGTGTGCTATATTGGACCAGGTACATAATAATTTAAATGTGCTTTGTTATTGATGAAGTGAAGAGTATTACGAAGTGCAACTTGTATGAAAGTTAGTGTGACGTTAAAAAAAAATTGATACGATAAAAAAGACGTTAAAACTGACAATTCTACTTGAAATTATTGACCTAATAAGTTTTTTTTTTCTCTATAAACTTATTATTGTTTAGATTTTGAGTTACTTCAAAGCACATTTGTGTGTTAAAAACGTATTTGAATGTTCAGAAACATTCAACAAAATAATAATACGAATATAGATTGAACAATTAATATAATATTTTTTATGCTCAAATGTATGCGAGAATCTTTAAACATGATTGTCTGATAATTAATAATAATTACTAATAAATCAAGCTGTTCCTTTAATGAAATAAGACATGAGACAAACGTGGTAGCTAATTAATTTTTTTTTTTTTTATTATAGTTGATGAAAGTTTGATACTAAAAAAATATAAATAGCACGAATTTAAATTATAAAACTTTAAAAAATGTAATCATATATTCATATGATAAATGTTAATTTGAAAAGTCAAAAAATACATTTTAATCGAGATGGTATTTTCAATTAAATAATATTGCTAGATTTTTTTTAAAATGAACTGTTTGCATAATGAAATAAATTGCCTAACAGAAAATAATTGGAATACCTCTGTGTATTATAATTATAATTTGTTTGAATGAATAAAATATGAAATTAATACAGGCTATGAATAATAAAAATAGTTTAAGAATTTCTATTAGTTCAGTATTATATTTGACGATAGTAAATAATTATACAAAAAATTAATAACTTAAAAATATTAATAATACAAAAAAATGTCATCAAAGAAAAGACAACAAGGCACGAAGGCATTCTCAATTAAATCCTTCAGAGGATCATAAAAACGAACTCTTAATGGTTTTGATATATATAAGAAACAAAAATAAATTTTTTGGCTGTTTATAAAAATTAAAAAAAAAAAAAAAAAAAAAGATGCTGTGTAGGACTTTATAACAAAATGAATTTTATTTATACAAATACATTGTGTTTGCTTTGCAACGTAACATACTGAATACCACTGGGGACCGAGTAGTTACGGTTATATTTCTAAACAAACAATAACATAAGTGTCCTCTTTAGTAGCCCCATAATAAATTCCCTGCATTCATTAAAATCTAGATAATAACAAAGTAGTGTAACTGAATGGGTATCAATCGTTCGAGTCCACATAGATATTCAATTGTAGATATTTATCTGTTGGCTGTTAATGTTATTTTTTTCCCTTCATTATTTAATCTTACTCTTATCCTTAATCCATTTTTTCCATTTCATTTATTATTTTAATATTAATTTTTTTTTTGTTCTAATCACAATGGTAATCGAAGCTCTCTTGATTCTCACATAATCAATTGTTAGCATTTCGCCTTTGTAATGCTGCTGCTAGGTCTTGTCTCAAGGCAGCTTGCTGTCTTTGATCGGCCAACGATTGCACTGACCTCAGGCCATTAACGATATCCTTCGTTTTACCAAAATATATTTCGTTCAAAGTATTACGGATTTTATTCTCCATATCTTCTACCATACGACCAATATTAGCGATATGTGGTGAAGTTTCACTGATTGGTTGGTCTTGTTCAACCTAAATATTAAACATCGTATTAATTGAAAATAGATTTAAATGTCATATTTAAAAAAAAAAAAAAAATTATTGATTACCTGTCTTGTGAGACTTCCACCTAAATTCATAGTACCAGAGCCATGTTTATTCGTTTGTAACCACAACATAGCTGTTGAAGTAAGTTTATAATGTGCATTTCTACCAGTTGATTTTTCCTGGACTTCAACTACGTGAATTGAGTCCCAACAACCTTTTATCTTTTTTGATCCATCGCCTGCTTTTTTGATTAAAATAACACCAGCAAATCCATGGTCTAAGTCCCAAAGATAAACTGATGATACACCACCTTCGAAATACAATTCTCTGTACTGATCAAATGCATGATTGGCGTCAATTTCCAATTTTCTCAATCTTTCCGAAGGCATCGAGCCATCTTCCAATGGAGGATCATATGTATTACTCCATGGAGACCTAGACAATTATAGTAATTATAAATTATTTTTATTTAATATATAATTTATATTAAATTCATTTACATGACAAGTGTTTACCTGTATGAGTCTCCATCTCTATTATAGTCACATAATAAGTAATCTCTACCAGATTCTTTATCTTTCGCTATTTTAAGTGGTTGATCCACAGATGACAAAAGATCTTCACATAAAGAAGGTACAAGATCAATGAGGTCACTGAGATTTTTCTCAATTTGCTGAGGTGGCAACCGTCTCATTAAATCTAGGGCACAATCCATTTGTTGTTCACTCTGGAAATCATTCATTTTTTTTTTTAAATATTATTTTGACTTTTAAATTAAAAATAAACACAATCAGTTGAATGTCATAACACGTCAACCGGATTAAGTTTCACTGCTGATAAGATCTCATTCAAATGCCGTACAAAAATGTAGAACACGATTCACCATCTTGACACTTGAATTGTTATGGGTTAGGTATCAAATTTCAATGTTTTTCAGATAAAAAAAATTATCCAAAACTTCATAAAAAATATTATTATTCAAATTAATAAATATATTACCACAATAAATAATAAGAACTATCTTTTAAATAACTAAATATCCATAAATTATTAAAGTATAATTTTTTAAATAATAATAATAATAAATTTAAAAATAAAATGACTCACCATGATATCAATATTACTAAAATGCTATTATATTTTAAAAGACAATTACGTAAAATCAAATATGATATTTTAAAACCAAACAAATTTTATTTATCACTAAATTTTGTTTAATTGTTGACTGTTTCACTTGCATTCGAAAAAAAAAAAACGATTACTTAAAGGGTGTGTCGAAGTGAACAGTGATTGGTGAGCACAAAGCGTTCCTACGTCTATACATATACCTATATTTACTCGTGTTTTTCTGTATTTTTTTTTTCAACCCTTGCAATTATTATTTTTATCAAATCATCATGTGCAAAAATTAATTCATCAATCTATTAATAATCTATTATTATACTTCTAATAAATTTTAACTAATTTGTAATTTCTTTTACTAAAATGACAGATATTAAAAATCCCGCTGTTGATCGAGATGGCGACACTTATGCAACAAAAACCAATAAAAAATGTTTATTACTGATAAATTCATTCAGTTAATCATTAAATTTTCGGAAAATAAAAGTTAGTTATCAAAAAATGGTTGTTGAAAAAAATTAAAAAAAAAACTATTTTTATTATTAATTAATTTTGCGAAAACATGATACTGACAGGAGCATACAATTATTGACAATTTATTTATTTTAAAACATCCGTAATGAAATATTAGTTGTAAAACAAGTAAAAATCCAAAGATTATAGGTGCAAATGAAAAAGATTAAGTAAGATCTAATTTTTTTTAAACGTCAAAAGAGTTTATCAGTTATTAATTAAAATAGCAAAATGTCAAATTGTTTTATAATTTAATAGTACTAAAGTTAGCCGACGATTTTAATTTTTTGATTTTTTTTATTAATTCAATTTAGAACAAAAAAATATTTTTAAAAAATTGCACTTACAATTTTTAAAGTTTTTTTACAAGTGAAAATTTTTTTTTAGATTTTTGTAATAATTTTTTTAATAAAAAAAAATTCTAAAAATTTTTAAATGTCGGCTAACTTAATTTTCATTATAATTTAGCGTAATGGATTGAAAGGTTTTATTTGCTTAAAAAAAATTGATTAAAAAAAAATGTAAATGTAGAAACTGTAAAAAACTGTGAATATAATTTTTTTAAGTACATTATTCGTACTTATTTATTTATTTATTAAATAAAACGAAACAATGGTCAGGTTTCTGCTAATTCAGTATTCATAATGTAAAAGAAATGAGAGACATCTTACAAATGCGTAGTTTGTTTTTAATAAATTACATATTAATATAAAAAATTAATTTTAAATAGACATACAAGCTAAAAAAAATGTTTTAGAATGTAATTTTTAGAATAATTTCTATTAAAATATAATTTACTAATTTCGCATGACTGTAACTAATTAAAATTTGAAAATACCGCCACTAGTTACGATGGCAGCACTTGACAGATAATAATCGTATATATTTAGAGCACTTTGTGAAGATTTATCAAAACAAACTTCCAATTAATTTTATCTGTCTTTTTCTAATAAACAAAAAATTATATTTTTTGTCTTTGGTTAAAAATAAACAAAAAATAATAACAATATAGGGTCACTATGATGACGCATTAAAGCGCCACGGAAGTTAATGAAACTTTACTCTTATTCTAGAAAGTTCCAGAAGCCACGAGACGTTACGTTTGTATATATGATCTGCGCAACTGTGAATAACTTTCCAGTTAAAATCGAGACTTGAAAGAATTGACATAACTAATTTATTGTCTAATTTTTTCTACTGAAACTAGAACATTCTGTAGTGTTATTCATTTAATAAATGACAGTAATACTGAAGAATAATATTGTAACGGATTAAAAAGATCTAACAAAGGTAATTTTCTTATAAATATTCCATAATATAAATAAATATTGTAAATGAATATCGTCTCCATACGTAAACTTTTTTTTTTTTTTAATGATTTCAAAATGGGAGTCGTAAGAGATTAAAAAAAAAGTTCAATGTATTTAATTGATAGTTTTAATGAAATTTTAAAAATATAAAATAATCTTTCTAAGTGATTCATAATCTTGTTTCAAGTTTATTTTAAAATAATTTTGTATCGTTGTTCTTATGAAGACTGTTCGCTTTCACATCGCGGCATCATCATTCCCAAAATAACTATAAATATATAACCGTGGGTGTTTCAAGATATTCATGACCTCAAAATGGCATTATATATTAAAAATAAATAATAAAATAACAATATCAAATTTTATTTCATATGTTATTTTTTTATAATCCTTGAGGTAGTAAAAAATAGTGTACTAACGTTTACGGAAATACTAATTCAGTAAATCAATGTCGTAATGTTCATTGCCTTAATTCATCGCTATGTCCGTATCTAGTCTTGGAATGTTTGAATACATAAATATATATAATCAGGAAACTATTAAATTCATAATTTTGCGGATGAATATTAATATAAATGAATGGGCTAGATCTGAAAGGGTATAAATGAAAAATAACCTTGCCTTTCTAGAATATTTTTTCATCTAAAAGAGTAACATATTCTGGGCAAAGAAATTAATGCCAACTCCAAAAACCTTTTTTTGGACATTTATATCCTCAGTTATAACCTCTTCATATTTAACTATTAAATTATAGTAATAATAAATCAGTGCGAGATAATATTTGTGATCGACAATTATGAGTATGAGAAAATATTTATACTAATAATTATTTATTTTTTTATTTTCAGAATTTATCAAAATGGGTAAAGACTACTATAAAACTCTTGGCATTGCAAAAGGTGCTAATGATGATGAAATAAAAAAAGCATACAGAAAATTAGCCTTAAAGTATCATCCTGACAAGAATAAGGCGCCTGGAGCGGAGGAAAAATTTAAAGAAATAGCTGAAGCGTATGAAGTACTGTCAGACACAAAGAAGCGTGAAGTTTACGATAAATTTGGCGAGGAAGGATTGAAAGGCGGTGCTTCATCTGGTGGCGGTGGCGGTGGTGCTGAAACATACACTTTCCACGGAGATCCACGTGCGACATTTGCTCAATTTTTCGGTTCATCATCACCATTTGCTACATTCTTCGAATTTGGACCTGGTGGCAATAGCAGAACATTTGCTTTTGGGAATGATGACATGGACATGGAAGATCCGTTTGATTTGAGAATGTCTGGTGCACGACAGGGTGGCGGGCAAGGAGCATTCAGATCACATTCATTCAACTTTGCCGGTCCAGGTGGTGGAAGAATGACCAATCAAAAAGATCACGCTCAAGACCCACCAATAGAACACGACCTTTACGTCACTTTGGAAGATATTGCACGTGGTTGTGCGAAAAAAATGAAGATATCAAGGAGGGTAATTCAACCAGACGGATCAACAAAGAAAGAAGATAAAGTACTTACAATCAATGTTAAGCCTGGTTGGAAAGCAGGAACTAAAATCACGTTTCAAAAAGAAGGTGATCAAGGTCGTGGTAAAGTACCAGCTGACATTGTCTTTATTATTCGCGACAAACCTCATCCCTACTTCAGAAGAGAAGGAAGTGACATCAGGTACACCTGTAAGCTAAGTTTAAAACAAGCTTTGTGCGGTACAATCGTTGAAGTACCGACGTTATTCGGCGAAAAAAAGACGCTTAATCTTAATGATGAAATCGTTAAACCAAATATGGTCAAACGAATCCAAGGCCAAGGACTACCATTCCCGAAAGAACCATCAAGAAAAGGAGATTTACTCGTTTCATTTGATATTAAATTTCCTGATAAATTATCACAAAGCATCAAAGACATATTGTATGACACTCTACCTAATTGAATTCATATTTAATATTCTTTGTAGTGAGATGACTGAATATGTACATCTTAAAAAGAAAAAAAAAAATAAGTAATATGTTAGTTTAATCATTTATATTGACACTGTTGAAAAGAGATGTACGTTGTAGTACATTATTACGAAGAGCAATAAACATGCGTGTACAATATGTGACAAAATTTTTGCAGATAAAATTTATTTAAAGACCGAATCTTCAAGAGTTAACAGATATTTAATTAAATACATACGTCAAAATTTTATCTTGCAATCTATACTACTATTACTATAATTATTATATAGAAAATCAGACTGCATACGCGTGTATATTGTTCCAGTGTACTGATGAAAAAAAATATGAATTTAATTTGATTATATGATTATTATAATTATTTTGTTTAACAATTAACGTATAAAAATAATGTCAATATTATTTTTTAAATATTAGAAAGTGTCGTTATGTTATGATTGCATATTATGTATGAATGATTGATCGAATGAATTAAATTTTATTTGTAATCATTTATTGTGGCAAATGAAATTAAAATTATTTGTACAATTAAAATATAATAGATACATTAAGTTATTTGATGTGTTTCATTTATTTTGTTTTATTTATTTCATCATATATTTTTTTTATACTTTACTCCTTTTTTTTTTTTTCTTACGCTCTATTATTCATCAACACAGTTCTAAAATAGCTCTCCGGGCTGTGATGGGTTGATATGTTCACGGAGATACCACTTAATTCGAATTATAAATAAAAACTTAACAATGCATGACTAAATAAAATAGTAATATAAGATATAGATTTATTTACAATTACTAATAAGTGCATATATTTAAAATGCAACATATAGATAAAAGGTCGTTAACTTCCATACAGGCACCTGCATATTTTGTATTCATATTTTGTTTCTATGACAATAATGCAACTGAATGCACTTGAACTCGTATAAATTCAAGAGCAACAACTTTTACAATTACTTTTCATCATGAATTCGTTGAGTTCACTAATAATTTTAAGCATTAATTTAATTATTTCATCAGCATCACAAGACTTGGACATTATTTATTTTAAATCCCACAATTCTACAAAATCTGAGGTATTTATTTTTTTCTCCAAAAAATTATTAAAAAAAAAAAAAATTTTATTAATTAATTAAATATTACTTTTTAGATTCCAATCAGTTTTACTGCTTTCGGCCAGACCATAAAGCTTCAATTGTTGAGAAATGATAAATTATTAGCTCCTTATTTTCAAGTTTGGCGTCACAGTGATTCTAACGTTATCGAAAGACTAGATGAATTAAGTAAACCACTGTCTTGCCACTATATACATCAAGATGAATTAATTACGGCTGCTGTTAGTTTGTGCGAAGAAGGACTGCAAGGATTAGTAATATTAAACAATTTCACTCTCGAAATTACTCCATTGGATAAAAATGAACAAGTCATTTTTGAAGATGTTCATTATGATGAAGAAATGCCGCATGTTGTTAAGAGATCTCATTTATCATCATTTTTTTCACCATCATCATATTCACCGTATAACTTCAATTCAGACTATAAATATCCATATATAAATTCAATCTTGGATACATTTGAAAAAAGACCACGCCGAAAATTGACTGATGAATTGACCGTGGAATTAGCAGTTTTCTTTGACGAAGCAGGCTATAAATTATTTTCACCTTTCTTTGATCACAGTGAAAAAAAATTGCGCGATATGCTGTTAGCTTACATCAACGCTGTACAAGCTCTTTTTTATCATCCTAGTTTGGGAAGAAGAATAAATATTGTTTTAGTACGATTAGACATGATGAAACATCAACCAGCCGACTTGCCGCATTACAATGGTGAAAGATTAAAATTATTAAATTCATTTTGTAATTATACTGCGGCTAAAAATCCTAAAAATGACGATGATCCAAATCATTGGGATATTGGTCTTTATGTATCAGGATTGGATTTTTATGCATATGAAAATGGTGAAAAAAATAGTGTAACAATGGGTCTGGCAACAGTTTCTGGAGTTTGTTTAAATTCATACGCTTGTGTTATTGCTGAATTTGGCGTGACAAATCGATTTGGTAAACCGTATCCATCTGCTGGTTTTACATCAGTTTACATTACAGCACATGAAATAGGTCACAAGTATGTATGATTTTTATTATCTATATCATTAAGAGGATAAGAAAAATTTTGTCTTCGGTATATTTATATGATAAAATGAGTTTTTTAAAGTAAATTTAGTATTATTAGTAAAATCATGATCTGAATGTGTACTTCTTCAATATTTTATGTGCTTTTCAGCAACAGTTCATTTATTATGATAAATTTTTGAAGTAATTATAAATAGATTCGAATTTCGCGATAAACAAAATTTATTTATTTTGTTTTATCCATGTCATATGTGATTTTACGTCTAAAATTAATTTATGTAATTAAGAGACTACTAAGAAAAATTTTGTAACGGGTATGTCTTTATCGTAAATTGGTTTTGATATTTTTTCAGCGATAGTCATTAATGATTTAAATAATTGAGAGAGTAAAGAAAATTTTATGACGAGCACATTATTATTTTTAAAGAAATTTTTACAGTTAAATTTGCCCTGAATAAAAAAAAGTATTGAGACAAAGAAAAAAGTATTGGATTGACTAGAAAACCAATACTTTTCTCTTTGTCTCAATACTTTTTTTTCATCAGGGTGGCCCTGATTAGAAAAAGAGATTTGCAAAGATTCGTAATGACTCAAAGCAATTAAAAAAGATTCAACTTGACAAATTGACTTTTTTTTTTTAATAAGGGAGTATCATCAGAAAGGTCTTAACAAGAATTTGTGCTTTTTCACGGTTTTATATATTGTTCAGTGATAGTCAATTTTTCTTGTCAAGTTTTTGGAGCAATTTTGAATAGATTATTCGTTCTATAAATTTGTTCACATTTTCCATAAAATTATTTGTAATTGATCCTGTCATAACACTATTATTTTTCAAATTTATTTAAAAAGTATCCAAATTATGAATAGTACAATTAGAAATACGAAAAAATCTTTAATCCACAAAGTTTTCTTATTCATAATCCGGAAATCTTGCAGATTGCTAGTTATTATTTAATTATTTAACTTATTTATGTTTTGTAGCTTAGGAATGCATCACGATTCAACAGGGAATTCTTGTTCTCGTGATGGCTACATTATGTCTCCAAGCCGAGGTACCCAAGGAGAAACAATTTGGTCTTCATGTAGCCGAGAAGTAGCTATTGATTTACCACGAACAAAACCATGTCTACTTGATAAAAATTTAGAAAATTTTGACAAGACTTTGGACCATTCAAGATATCTGACATTACCCGGACGTACATGGACTGCAAAAAAACAGTGCGAATTATTATTAAGAGATAAAGATGCTGATGTTGTTACACTTACTAACGCTTGTCATACATTATCATGTCGTAGTCCACATCGTAGTGGTTATTATTATGCCGGTCCAGCTTTGGAAGGAACCATTTGTGAAGAGGGTAAAGAATGTCGTGGTGGTGAATGCTTACCGGCCTTGCACTTTTTAAAACCACAATCTTCTGGAGTTAAAGGCAATGAAGGTTGGAGTAAATGGAAAGAATTCTCTTGTATCAGTGGTTGCATAAAAAAATCTAAAGGATCAAAAATTAGACGAAGAATTTGTAATAATAGTCAAAATACGAATGGACAGCAATTTAATGAAGATTGTAAAGGTCCTCATTATGATGTTATGATTTGTAAAGACGAAAAGCTTTGTAAAAAGCGTATAACTGCGGAGGAATTTGCTACGATCAAGTGTCAAGAGTTTAGTGAACATTTGCCAGAATTAGATAAATATAGTTCAGGCTTACAAGCCCCTCATGAAATAGGAAGACCATGGATGGCTTGTGCTATTTTTTGTCGACGAAAAGATATTGCTTCTTATTATACACCACGCATTGAATTAAATGATCTTGGTGTCGATCCATATTTTCCTGATGGTACTTGGTGTCATAATGAGAATAATCAAAATTATTTTTGTCTTCAACACCATTGTTTGCCGGAAGATTTTCGATTTGCTAAAGACGCGTTGAGACGGACTACCACAGATTTTAATAATTTAGGTCCACAAAATGCTCAACCAGATCAGTATAAAATTCCTGATGAAGTAATTAAGTATTTAAGCTTAGGTATTAATGGTTTACCATTGTCAAAAAATTTTCCGTCAAATGTTACATCCACCGACAACGAATGGACTGATGATGATTACATTGAATTACCGGATGAGTTATTATCAAATTAATTATTCTAATTTAAAAATAACCAGCAAACTGATAATTACTAATCCAGGTGAAAAAATCATAGAAATTGCATGGAGAACTTGCAAATAAAGATGAAATTACTTAGAGAATTTTGTAAACCATACCACATATATTCCGTCATTTCTTGTATTTTATATAATTCATTTCTTTTTTGGAGAAGTAGTTATTTTTTTCATTTAATAATTCCTCATAATTTTATGTAAAGAATTTTAATAAAAAGTTTTATCAAATGTTATTTTATAGATATTTTTTTGTTTTATCATAAATAGTATGTAAATAATACATAAATAATTACATATTGTTATCGACGCATGAAATATAAATGAACATTTTTTTTCATACGTTTTTTTTATGTTGCAGTGTGAATAATATTTTACTTTATACTTTAATTTCTGACTTATTAATGCTCGCATTCAAATGTCCACAGAATGTTATGAATATTTTTGATATTTTTTTTTTCTAAGAAAAATCGCTCAGGAAAACATTTAGGAATTTTCCGGTGAAAATTATTAAAATTGTGAATACTTGTTAATTTCAACTCTACAAAATTCATTAGTATTTAATTAATGAACAAAAAAAATATCAAAAGGAATTCTCATCTAGAAGTGTATACTAGAATGAGAATAAGACGATGATTACTCATGAAGAGCCGAAGATCCTCTGAATTCCACATGACTTGTTGGACACACCACAACAATTGATAAAATTTTTAATCTTGTGAAAAATTATTTGCTAAAAAAATTCTAAAAATTATTAGATGTCTCTCAAATTCAGTATCATAAAAATTAATAGATTTTTTTTGATCATGTTCTTATTAATTAATGCGAATTCCATTTTCATAGATTGTCATTTCTATGAATTTCCATTTTTATGCTTTTCCTAAAATAAAAAATTCCGTTTTTTTTTGGCAATCCATAAAATTATTGCCATTTATTTTTATTATGTTTATCAATAAATGAATCCTTCGTTTTATTCACCATTTGATGATAGGCTTTTAAAATTTTAAATACTTTTTAGAATACATTTTTTTATTTAAATGAACATTACATTTATTTAATTATTGTACATCAATTAATGAGTTAGCTATTTATATAAATGATAATTTTCTACTAATTTCTTAATTCATATACTTCCATTTATAGGAATGTTTATTATTTTATTTAAACGTTTAAAATTCATATGGCATTCAAATATATTGTATTTTGAATCTTGCAAGGTCCTTCTGGCCAGTCGAGCAAAGTCACTATATAGATTGCAAGTACACATGTAAACAATATTCAAAAATTGGTTCTTGTTTGTTTGTTAAAATTTTTAACAAATTTTTAACTTAAAAATATAAAACCGATACATACGGTTATAAGCAGGTTGTGTAATTTATATTATTAAGTAATATATCCTAAAAAAAAAAAACAGATTTTTTATCAGTAATTAACAAATAAATCAAATATCACGCCATCTTCCTATTTTTAAAAACAATAAAATTTACATTGTCGATATACATATTATGTTATATAAGTATGTATATTTATATGCATACACACATTGAATTTTATATACATAGGTATAGGTATATATACACAGAATATTAAACATTGAACGGCGGTGAAAATGTTATTGATATGGTACACAGTATTTTTAATAGCCTAGCTACAAATATAAAATATATAAATTTAATGAAGAAATAAATTTTGACAGTGTGAGAATAGTAAATAAAAAAAAAATTTGACTTGATAGTCAATGTATTATTCAAGTAAATTATTAAAATTAAAGTCATTTTTGACATCATCACAAATATGGCAGGTATGTCAGGTTATGAACGAGCTGAGCGAGTTTACAGAGGTAGACCGCTAGATCCAAGACAATTCGAAGATGATCCAGAAAAATATTATAATCGTGATATGTTAAGACCGTTACCATTAGAAACATCATTACCTCTTATAACTGAAGATGTATCTACTGACAATGGTAAGGTCATAACAAGGTTCTCTTATTGTTATATCTGTACTTTATATTTAATTATTTAATGTTATATAGTTTATTATATAAATCTTTATTTAATTAAGTTTCAATAATTATCAACAATAACTATACTCTAACGTTAGTTACTTTTTTTTTTTTTTTTTTTTTTTTTTTAATTTCAGATATTGCAATAAAAAAATCTATAGGAGCTGGCTGTGGCTTAGTAAGTTTAATAACAGAGAATCTTTTAATTCATCCCTTTATTGTTTTAAGAAGACAATGTCAAGTAAATCCCAGATCGTCAACTTACCACTTAGTGCCAATAACCTTGATACCTGTGATAGTAAGATTACATCAAACGCAAGGTTTGAGTACGCTCTGGAAAGGTATTGGTTCAGTTTTGTTAGTACGAGGTTTATCAGCAGCTGTTGAAGATGTTATTTCTAAACTTACTCCTTGGCCAAAGTATGTATTATTTATAAATAATTCACAATATTTTTTATTGTTTATTTATTAATTATTTATTTGACTTATAGAGAAATCAACAGAGAGAGCTCCATGAAAGCTTTTGGACAACATTTACTACTTAAATGGTGATGATGATTTTTATTTTCGTTACTTCATTAATTAAACTTTAATCATTTAAAATTTATGTTATTAATTTAATTTTAGTGTTTCAATTGGAATAGTTGCTCCGTTTTATTCAGCATCTCTGGTAGAAACAGTCCAATCGGAGATAGCATCTGAGAAACCTGGGGTACTTGACATATTTCGAGATGGAGCTATTAGATTATTAGAAGTAGGATCTAAAGGCAGGCTTATTCCAATTTATGCACTTCTTACTCCACATGTTACTTATGGAGTTGCTAAATATTTATTTGCATTGATCGTAAAGAGTGTTGTTAGTCGAGTGATGTGGTTAAGAGATAGAAAATTGCAAGAAAGAACTGTAAGTTTTTTTTCTTATTTTTATATCAATAAATTACGATAATTAAAATTTTTTAATTTCTTGAAATAGTTAATAAAATCGGATTAAAATTTATAAATAAAATACAGATTAGTTCTCTTTAAAAAAAAATTTTTTTTTTTTCGGATCTTTCGGAATTTTACGAAAATAAATAAACAATATCTCAAACAAAATTTAAAGAAAATAATATAAGTGGTTAAATTAAATTATTTCAGGGAGCTTATAGTCGAGACATAGTTTCTGAAGGAATGATGCAAGATATTGAATTACATTCAACATTAATATCAATGTGTGCAGCAGACGTAATATTTTATCCACTTGAGACTATTGTACATCGTCTTCATCTACAAGGCACTCGAACTATTATTGATAATCTTGATAACGGACGAAGTGTTATGCCGCTTTTAACGGGATACAGTGGAGCTATTGATTGTTATCGTACAATTGTAAGTACTGAAGGGACATTAGGTTTATATAAAGGATTTGGTGCTCTTGTATTACAATTTGGTATAAATTTTTTAGTCCTAAAAGCAACTAAATATATCCTCACAGAAATTGGAACAATGTTTAAGAGCAAACCAAAAGTAGTTAAAACTCCACAAAATATCTATTATAATGAAGCTTAATTAATTTATTTTATAGAAAATACTGTGTATAGATTGATTGATAACTAATGATAATATTCGATTTTTTTTTTCTTATGGCAATTAAAAATTAAATTTTTTGAAAAAAATTTTTTTGTATTTTAATTAACTTAATAATGAAATGAGTTTAAAAAAAAAAAACAACAATAAATAGGGTAAAAATACTGATTCAGACGAATTAAATCCGAGTTCAGAAACTTAAAAATTTCTTATAAAAAAAAAATATTAAACATTTACCATTTTTTCTACTATATGAAAAAAATATTTAAATTACAAGTATAATTAATAATATTTAATTATACAACTTTTGCTTGTATATTTTATTTATTAAAATCAGTATTTTTACTTTAAAATTTTATGATAATAATATTTACCTTGAATGATATTTATAATATAAACTTTTAATTAATATAGAAATTTTTAAAACTAGTTCATTTATTAAAATTTGAATAAATTAGACAAAAAAAAAGGAATATGTTTTGAATCTACTTTCTATTTTAATGTAATTTTTTCATAATCATTTATTATAAATATACGATTATACAATAAAAATTGTCTATTATAATAATAATAATTAGATGGAGATAACTTTATATAACTAAAATATCTGAAAGGTATTTAGTTTAATTTTGTTATAATATTAATTAAACATTATTTTAATTCGTTAATTAAATTATTTTATTTTGTTGATTGTGATGATAGAAATAAAAGATCACTTTCTTGTATCTAATATCACAGTGAAAATTCGAAAATAATTAAGTATATAGAATATTATATAAATGTATTTATAATATTATATATTCATATATAATAAGAAACATATTTTATTTTGCTAATTTTTTGACATTAAGTTTTATAAAATTCTTTGATTAGTAAAGAAAAAAATGATCCACAAGGTGATATAATGTTTATACTATATTTAATTGTTTATTTTTATACCATTTTTTCATAAATTTATTTTTAAGTCACTGAAATATTTTTAGATGAGCATTAACATCAGCAGAATCGATTAAATTTTGTTCACATAAATGTGGAAATATTTTCTTGTATACTTTTTTAAAATTTCTATTATTATTCTAATGCTATTTACAATATATTACAAATAATTATCATTTATCTAAACGCACATGCAATTTATTTATTAACAATACCAATTATTAATTATAATAATCATAATAAAAATCATAATATAATGATGATTATAAAAAAAGAAATATAATTTTTCCTGGTTAAAATCAAATATATAATTGAATTTAATTCACTGGAAATACGCAATAGTTCAATTTGCGTCACAAAGTACTTAAAAAATGAATGAATTACAATTTTAGAATTAAAATTTCATTCTATAAAGTACGCACGTAATTTTATTTATCAAAAAAAAAAAAATTTATTTAACGTGAGGCATTACCTCACGTTGTAAATTTCAATTATTCACATGTTGTGCGTGTGCTTGTTGTTGTTCTTCTTCAGTTGAATCACCACCTCTTCTAATATACTGAGGTTTGTCTGTACCTCGAACAGATCCTTCAGTAACGTGAACCGTCAGAACATCGCTGCCAGGAACATCAAACATAGGTTCTAAAAGAAGAGATTCCATGATCGCACGTAGTCCTCGAGCTCCTGTCTTCCGATCCATTGCAAGTGCTGCTATAGCATCCAGAGCGTCACTCGTAAATGTCAAATCAACCTATCATCAATAAAATACAAAAATTAATTTTTTAATAACTATATAAAATAATAATTAATAAAAAGTGAAAACCTTATCCATTGAGAACAACATTTGGTACTGTGGAACCATTGCATTGTTAGGCTCAGTCAAAATTCTTACAAGCATTTTTCTGTCAAGTGTGTGGAAAGGTACTAAAATGGGAAATCTTCCGACAAACTCGGGAATCATTCCAAAATCAATCAGATCTCGCGCTTCAACTTGTCTCAATAAAATATCTTTTTCTTTATTATCATCTTCAGTTGATGGAGACATATTGGCAATATCAGCTAATGTTGCTGCTCTTCTACCTGGACTTTCAGTAGCTGGTGCAGCACCAAAGCCTAGATACTTTTCGTTTTTACGTCGTGATACAAGTCTGTCAAGGCCGTTATAAGCACCAGACGCAACAAATAATATATTTGTTGTATCAACTTGCAAAGTATCACCACGTAATTTACGAGAACTATTTCTTTCTGGTACATTGACAATAGTACCTTCCAACATTTTCAACATACCCTGTTGTACACCTTCACCACCAACATCACGTAACTGATGAATTCCGGGTACCGCGCCAATTTTATCTACTTCATCCAAAAATACGATACCCATTTGCGCTCTTTCAACAATATAATTTGCATCTTGAAGTAATTTAGCTATTACACTCTCAATATCTTCACCAACGTACCCAGCTTGAGTGAGAGTTGTACAATCACAAATTGCAAAGGGTACATCCAAACACTGGGCTATTGTTTGCGCTAATAAGGTTTTTCCTGATCCAGTCGGACCCAAGAGTAGAATATTACTCTTCTCCAATTTTAATTGATGTTGTGTACTGTCTAAAATATCTGAACCAGGAACTGATTGGTTTGCATTTGCTTTTTGCTGATCATTATTACTTGATGGATTTTGAAAACCAACACTTAATGGATTCCCCAAGCTTGATACGTGAAGTAGATCTGTAATGAAGACAAGGGTACTTTCATTTTTGTATTGCTAATTTTTTCAATTTGTGTTTATAAACATTTTATAGTGCAAAGGAGTTGGAATCATTATTAAGGATTAATTAATGTTTATAAGGACAATAAATTTTATTTACGCGGTTTAAGACCTCTGTGAGTAAACGGGTAGTTGAGCTCTTGAGGTCCAACTTGACTTGAACTGGCTTGCACTGAGTTCTGAGGTGGAAGATTATTGTGAATACGCTTATAATGATTGTATACTGCTACACTCAAAACTTTTTTAGCATATTCTTGACCTATTACATGCTTATTCAAGTACTCGAATATCTGAAAAATTCATTAATATTAATATTTTAGTAAAATTAGTAAACTGAAAAGCGTTATTACATTTCTACTCAAAACGTATCAGACATATAAATATTGAAAATGAACTAGTAAGTAATAATTTTTTTATAGTAAATTTCGAGTAAAAATTTAATGATGCCACTTGATGAATTTGTTATTTATTGTTGCTGATCAGTGATTGAGATATTTATTACCTTTTTTGGAGGAGGTGGTGGTTTCCGATAAAATCCTTGTTTGGAATCATCACTTCTTGTTGTTTCTTTGAGACTTTTTTTTGAGTCTATTTCCGACAGTACCACAAAGAAATGGGAACACTTTTCGCATTTCACGAATCTCGTTGACGCTGTAGTGAAATTAAAAATTATTATTCATTGATGACTGTAATTATTCATTTGAAACACAATATTTATAGAAATAAATGGCAACTACCTATATTCAACAATACAATATCTTTTAAATCAATGTACTAATAGTTTCCAAGTCAATCGAACGAAATCAAAAGTCAAGTCTGAATGAAACAATTATGATCTAATGATAATTAAAAAAAAAATTTTCCTTATATTATTTCAAGTATATCATGAATCAATACTCCATTTCATTTTTTAATTTCATCATAATTAAGTATTAATTGATTTCTCACTTTACTCAATTTGGAATAAGGTTCAGTAATATTTCTGGATCGCATCACTATTGTAATATTTAAAAAGTTATTAACTTTAAATATTACAAAAATTTGATTAAATAAATTGTAATAGTTGATATACAAAAAAAAAAAAATATCAATAATAATGGAGACTTACTTGCATGTACTTTTTTTCTAATGTTTTAAAAGTAATAAAAAAACAAAAAAATTGATTTTTTCTTTTAATATTCATCAATCATTTAAAAACTATTCAATTGATTTATTTAGAAAATTTCTAATTCATTTTTAAGAATTTGTATTAAAAAAAAAAAAATTTTAGTAAATTCTTTAGGCAGCTTATTGACATTTAATCAATCAATAAAATTTTAATTAATTTATAATTATAATAAACAAATAATGAGGAGGTTATTACAAGCTTTAAGTTATCAATTTTATATACAGATATATAAATATGCAATTAGCATATAAAAACGTATGATTTATTTACGTTTACTACTTTTGACATTTACCCAAGATGAGCTGCTTAATAAAAGTTGAAATTTTTAATTATTTAAACTTACATACGAATGTTTCAACATGTGTACAAGGATCCCCACACTTTGGGCATGTCAAGGTATTTTTTTTTCCGCCACCTCCTTTTCCATTTCCATTTCCATTTCCATTACTTCCCGCGCTATTACCAATGTCTTTATTAGGTGGTGTTGGTTCACTAGGTGCCTTTGATAACACACTAGTTGTTGCTAATGATCTTGTTGCGACAACTCGTACTATTTTTTGCACTAAAAAATAAATTTAATTTGTTTCTTTCTATATAGTCAGCTGAATTATTTTTTTCTATTTTTGTTTATAATTTAGAATAATAATTATTTTAAAAATAATTTACCATGATGTGTAACATGATTCGCAGATACTAAAGATCTCGTATTATACAAACAACACCTAATGCAGCTCATTGTGAAGGTGTTATGTTATTGATGCAGCAGTAAATTAAATAAATAAAAAAAATTACCAGCCAATGATAGAAATAAACCTGTAACAAAATTTATTATTATTTTATAAATTAATAGTTAACATTATTTATTTATCAAATAAAGTATCCATAAATTAATACTAATGTGTATAGTCAGATAAATTTATTTTATAATTAGCGTATTATTATACATATGTTTATTAATTGGATCTATTATTATTTACTGCGTTTAATTTTCAATCAGGCCACTTATTTAATATATATGAACTGTTGTGTATTATACTGCACAATGATGAAAATTTTATTTGTGTAGATAAAAAAATTATAGAATGACGTAGTACAGTTGATACTAAGTCACTAAAGTAATTCACTGTAATGGTGAAATCACTAACCTTGCTTTTGCAAATTAATTTTTTTAAATAATAATCGACAAAACAATATGAGATTTGACCCGTATTAATGTTAAATATTATTATTATGAGTTTAATTAATAGTACGCATTAATTTGTCTTATTACATTATCTATGATAATAAATTTAATAAAAGTATAATGGTGGTTATTAATTAAAATGTTCAAAAATAAAATCACAAGATATGAAAAACGACTGTTAAAATAAGTGACACATTTTGTCTGACAGGACAATCGCTCAATTGCTTGCGTGTAAATATACAAGGATAAAAATGTTGTTCTATTTAATTTTATGTTTATTTTTCAACTCCAAAAATAATGAAAAAAAATGTCAAAATTGACACTGACACTTTATTTTCCGTTTTGTTTTTGTTTCTTTTTTAAAATTGTTCACTAGATTAAATTACGTAATTTACCTTGACGTTAGATAAACAAATAATGATGCTGAGTCAATGTCTCCCGTTCTACCCGATCTTTCGAAGATTAAGACTATTGTTTTTTTTTTTTTTTTTTCCTTTCAAGAGAATAATTTTTTTATGTATACTATATGTATGTTAAATATACACATTTATGCTTTCTAAGTTATCAACTGTCAATTAAGAGCATTTTATGAAGCGCTAATATATTCAATTTTCAAAGTTAATTTTTATTAATTTTTTTCTTTTAATTATATTTTATGGTAGATCATAAAATTTACATAGAATATACAAAGTTTTATACACGTAGAATATTCCATAAAAAAAAAAAATTTAAGCAGTTGATTTTTTTTCATGTGATTTTTTATCTTCATCGTCATCAGAACCAGTGGATGATTCATCTTCATCTTCCTCATCATCATCATCATCATCATCATCATCATCATAATCCTCATCATCATCATCGTCATCTTCATCATCATCTGCCGTTGCACCATAATTTCCATAAGTTCCATAAGCACCATAACTACCACCTTCGTCATCAGAATCATAATTGCTAGCTTGATTTTGTCTTCCAAATTTATGACTCCGAGCTATAATTTTAAAATTTGTTAGATAAAATTTAAACAAACTGAATAAATAAAAATTGTATTTTAAAATAAACTTACTAGACATGCTAAGATCTTTAGTTTGTGATGTTTCAAAATTACATTTTGGACACGGAATCGCTTTATTCTTTTCATATTTAAAACCTTTTCTACGGACATGATCCTCACAGTAGCATGTTTTACATCTTAAACATGAATATTGGCCTAATTTATTACAAGATTGGCCTGAAAAATAAAAACTCAATTAATAATATTAATCATTACAATAATTAAAATGCTAAAATAGAAAAAATTATTACACTTATAACTTTCAGCTTCAAGAACTTGGCATGAAGCTTGATGTTCAAATTGATCGTCTTCACATAGAAAACAATCACAAAATGAACATTTAAATATTCTTCCACCGTGATCCCAAACGCCTCTTTCGCATTCCTGACAAACTGCGTCCATCAGGGGACAAGTACAAGAATGACTTGTTAGACATTTTCTACCATGGCATACCCAAGCTTCACAAAAATCACAAATCGCTCCCTGAAATTATAATAGATAATATATTATTTTTATTGATAAATAATTGAAGATGTTTATCCGAACTGTGTCTAATAATGAAATAAATTAATGCTATCTAAGTTTAAATAACATTATTTAATTTTTTGAGCCAATAATATATTATTATGTATAAACATTACAGTTGTAAAATTATACTTAAGAGTAGGCCGTAGTAAATGTATTTTCAGAAATTTTATTTTTTTAACTCCATTTTAAATAAATTTTTAAATCTAATACAATAAAATTTCCGAACATATGACTAGATATTGCGGAAGCTTTATAATAATTCATTTAAAAATCTTTTTTAAAAATAATTAAAAAATACATTTACTACAGCCTAGTCTTGTGGGTTTTAACTATGACAGTTTTATAGTAATTGTGCTTTGTGTATATATGTGCAATTGAATTATCAGTGAAAAAATTATTAGATAAAAAAAGAACATACCACCATCCCTAAACCTGTGATAAATATTCCAGGATGTTTAACAATACAGTCTCCAGTTTTTAACATACATTTTATCTTTCCACAATGAGCGCACATTGGTAACCTCTGTACACTAGAACAAAAGTAACAAAATGCTCGATTTTTTTGCTTTTTGTTACATTTATCGCATTCCTAAAAAATAGAAAACAATCATATTTTATTAATTATTATAAAACTTTAAATTAATATTAAATTTAATTTTATAAATGAAATTTACCATGACCGCATTGCAAGGAAATTTTGCGATATCCAATTGATCTTTAGCTGTTCTAATTCCTTTTTGCCGTAATTTTTGTTTTTCGGCTTTTTTTCTTTGTCCCGTCTTTTTTTTCGGCATTTTAGAGTTTTAATTATTTGGAATACAGTATAAAAATTAGATTAACTCCGATTGTAATACTGCGAAAAAAAAAAAAAATAAAAAATAAAATGAAATGAATGGTAATGTCACCTACTCTTACTATACTATATACAAAAAAGGGGCCACAGTCATAGCCATGGGGTGAGTGGAAGGAGATTACAATTTAGTATTTTACATTTTAACTCCAATCTAAATAAAGAATTATTTATTTTATGGTCACGACTAAAAAATTATCTATATAACAATAAAAAAAAATAATAGTTACTGTCATACCGATACATTTAATTGTAATGTTAGTTTTTGATAATAATAATAAAAACTCAAATAGACAACGCCACGTTACAAAAAGGAAACTCTTTGAATTTGAGTTTTGATAATCATTATTTAATGTTTATAATAGGAAAAATTGATTGATATCTCATTGGTAGAAAATAAAAATTTTTTTGCTCTACAAATGCATTAGTTTTATTTTCAATAAATTTTAAAATATTAAAAAATATTGACAGATAATTATTTATTTATTTGGAATGAATACGTATATATATGAGAGCGTACTTATGTAAAAAGAAGTCAAACCACTAGCGCCACGTGTCATGTGTCATTTTCCTCTACGAAATTTCAGTTTCCATTAGACTGTATCCGACATTTCATAAACAAAGAATATAAATAAAGTTTTTAAAATACATTATTCTCAATCCTTTGATAACTATTACAAAATGACGGATGAATCAAATGGAGAATCAACGTTTGAATTCGTCGAAAAACGAGTTGAGGATGTATCAATATCTGGCGAAACAACTAAAATTGGTTCGATTACTTTATTATATTTAAATGACGTAAATATTTACATTCCGTTGAAAACTTTTGTCTCTTACTACTATCAGCTTATCAGTTATTTTAGAATATGGAAATTATTATATTTTATTAGAAATATTGCTAAAAAAAAAAAAAAAAAAAAAAAATATATATATTTTTAGATTTAATCAGCAGTTTATCGCCATCTGTATCGATAATAACGCCTTTAAGTGGATCATCGTCAGCAGGAAATCTTTTGTCAAATGTTGCTCCACCATCTGCTTTGCCTAGTTTTATTGCCAATCAGTCGCCGCCATTAGATTCACTGCCAAAAGAAATTGGACAAAATGCTGTCAAAGTTGAAAGTACCGAAAAGCCTGAAGAAATTTCCGGGGATCTTGGAGTTCAAACAAAACAACCGCAAGCACAAGGTCAACAAACTCCAGCTGAATCTCAGAAACCGTTAGAATCTGTGTGCTTAGAGGAGAATCAATCACAAGATATGGGAATCGTCGGTGCCTCATTATTTTCATGGGTCAAAGATAATGTTGTTAATAATAGTATGCTCAGTAAAGTTGCTGAAAAAGCTAAAAGCAGTGTTAACTCAATGATAACTACTTTGGATCCCCAGATGCGTGAGTTTATTTGTAAGTAATCATTCGCGAAAACATTACGCTTTAATTGAACGATTGAATTTTTTTTTTAAATTATGATTGAATATTTTCACTTTTTAAAATTCACCTGTTGAAGGGTATCCTTGTCCTCTGCTCGTAAACTAGTTATAGATATTTCTATTTTGGGATTAAGTAGAGCAGTTGGTTTTATACACTCACAGTTAAAAATTCTGTCATTTCTCACCGTGCAGTCGATAATAAAATATTTTAAATTATTGATATTTTTTTCTCATTGAATAATTCTTATTAAACATTTAATAGCTATAATTAATATGTAAAATATGTTGGTTAATGCTACTAATTACATTTGGACATTATTAGACACATGGATTTCAGATTCAGGTGGTGATGTTGAAATTGTTGTGGCATCTAATAAGGAAGTCAAAGTCAGCCCTATTCGTGAAGCTTTTCAAGACGCATTTGGAAAAGCGACTATCACGTAAGATAAAATTAAATTTATAAATTATATTTATTGATGATTAATAATAATTGAATTTATTTTTAATTCCGTACAGAGGTGTAGCGATTGATACATCGGCTATTCCTGCACAACCAGTTGGCTTTGCTGCTGGAGTTAATGGAGCAAAACATCGTATTAAATATGCACGTAATGCTCTTGAGATTCCAAAAGACATTCCAATTATTGCAGTGCAAAGTTTTTTGGTGGAAATTGGTGAAGATAAATGGTATGAATTAGCGGTTATACTTCTTGATGACTCAAAAAATGACGTTAATCTGCAAATGTTTACACAAATGACACCAGTACCAAGTCAATTCGTATCAACTGCTAAAGAATCTACACCCGATACTTATCCACTTAAAACATTAGGTTTGGCTGTATCAGTTGGAAGTTTAATGTCTACCAATTTACAAGTAAATGGACTTTTTAATATTACTTTGAATATTTTGGTTTTTTGAACTATTATTAAAGGTTTTTTTTTGTTAAAGGTTAATTTCAATGAATGGCACCATGCGCTTACTGGTATATCTCGTAGAGATACTATCCTTCTTGCAGCCCAATCTTTAGCAGGCATTTATAAAAATACGATTACAACAGTGTAATTAATCAGCAGAATGTCAACGATGATGATGATGATGATGATGAACTATAAAGACCGAAATGTTTTATAATTATTTGTACATAATTTCTAATAATTTTATTATTTGTTTAAACTTGAAATAAAAATTATAACAAAACAAAACTGATCAAATTTAAAGAAAAAATATATTGAATCGACTCTATTAGAGTATAAATCTGTTGATTAATTTTGAATATTGGTTATAGTTATTTGTACATTAATTGTGTAATTAAACTTTCAAAGTAAATTGTATTCAAATGAACAGTATTTGTGAAAAAGATTTATATGGTGCCAGCATTTAAATATATTTTCACGAAACAAGTATGTTTAATATTTAATTTTTTATTAGTCTATATAAGGTATTTAAACTAAGTAAACCAAATTTTATTCATTATAAGATTTTTATATTTGTCGTATCTTTACGTCCTTAACGTGAATACATTTATCGTATTTCTCTTTCTTTATCTCATTTTATTCGTTCAGTCGTTTAAAAAAAAAAAAAAACAAGAAAATGAAGATAAAGAAAAACTTAATTACGAGAATTAATAATATTAGCTGAATTATAAAAAAAGTAATGTAAAAAATTACAGGATTTATTTAATTAGAAAATTCATTACAGTGGCTAAAATTTTTTTTCCATTAGCGAAGATAATCCTGTAATACTTTTTAAAATTTATTTTTCCAATTCTCCGCATTAATTCAAAATCTCAACAAATGGTAGTATTAAACAAAGCCACCGAAGTTATATTGACATTACGGAATCGATTGTATCCGCTGTCGTTTAATTGAAATACAATATTTAAATAGAGTGCAAAAATCCAAATTGGTTACAATTTGTCCAAGTATGATGCCAAGTCTGGGAGACCGTCTTTCAATCCCTTCCTTTTTCTCGTATCCTGAAATAAAGAGAAAAAAATTAATCATTTAATTAATTATTTAAAAAAAAAAAAAAAAAAAAAAAAAAAAAGAGTTTAAATAAAAAGTTAAAATTGTCGTTTCTTTATTCAAACTACCTAGATCAGCCAGATAATTTAAACTTCAAGGTAACATTTAATTTTCCACGGATTAAAAAATGGCAATACTTATAAATTGCATAACCATCAGTTATGACCGTGGATTTTTATTTGAGGTAATAGTAATAACAAAAATATAAATGTATATATAATACAAACCTGAACAACTTGGTAAGGTCTTGTACCCTGGTCAAGCGGGTCACCAGGAAGGATTTGCCAGTGATCGAAGACACATTGTGGGAAAGCTTGTCCTCCAGTGTTTGATCGTAAATCAGCAGTGAAGCCAAACGATTCATTTACTGGCAAGTAAGCTTTAACAACGAACATAGGTGTACCAGCGACTTGTTGTTCTTCAAATACGTGACCACGTCTACGATTGAGTACTCCGTAGATTCCACCGACAGCTACTTCTGGACATTGGATCTCACAAAGATACACTGGCTCCATAAGCCTTGGTGAGGCAGTGAGCAGACAAGCGTACAGACAACGTCTGGTTGTGGGGATAATTTGACCACCACCTCTGTGGATAGCATCAGCATGAAGTGTAACATCATAGATGTTGAACCGTACACCACGGAGATTTTCTTCTGAAAGAACTCCTTCTTTCGTGGCCCATTGGAAACCAGCGACAACAGAATCCTTAATTTCATTAAGGTACTGTACTCCTTTAGTACAATCAACGAGAATGTTTGGTCCAGATCCGTCGGGTCCGAAACACCAGATTTTTCTTGCTTCGGTTACGTCATAATCGTATTTCTCACCAAGATAACGAGCACGTGATTTGAAATCATCTCTTGGGTTTACATCTCCGTTGTCAATGTCCTCAGCAAGACCATCTGGCATTGGTTGAGCTTTCATGAAAAGACGATTGTGTTTGTTCGGTGACTTGGACAAACACATTTGGTCTGATTCTTCAGAAACAGTTTCTCTGTATGAAACAACTGGGTCTGACTTCTTGATAGGAATGCAAGCATGATCTTCTTCCAAATCTTTAAGACAAATCTCAAGATGCAATTCACCGGCACCAGCAATAATGTGTTCACCAGATTCTTCAATGATACATTGTACCATAGGATCGGACTTGGCTAAACGTTTCAAACCTTCCACCAATTTAGGTAAATCAGCTGGGTTCTTTGGCTCAACAGCCACACGTACAACAGGTGATACTGAGAACTTCATGACCTTCATGTTGTGAGCATCCTTGTAAGTGGTAATGGTACCAGTTTTAACCAAGAATTGATCAACACCAACAAGACCACAGATGTTACCTGTACAAATAAGTAAAAGATTAATTAATTAATTACTGTTCATTAATCATTTTATTTTATTTAATTATCATTTTGTAAATAATTCATCAGTTGGCCGTTCTTATATCGTCGTTCATTTATTATCAGAACAGGTCTGTGATAAGAACAATCATCATAAAAATAAAGAGAAAGAAGAAAAAAAAAAAATTTTAAAAACTTACCAGATGGTACGTCTTCGATGGCTTCGACGTAACGACCCATCATGAGAATGGTACGTTGGATAGTTTTCTCGTACAAGTCTTCTTTCTTTCCTGGGGTGAAGTTTGGACCCATGATACGGGCTTTCATACCGGTGCAAACTTTACCAGAGAACACACGTCCAAAAGCGTAGAAACGACCTTTGTCAGATGTCGGTACCATTTTTGATACGTACATCATGAGTGGACCATTGGGGTCACAGTTCTAAAAAAGTAAAATAATCAATTTAAAAATTTTTATTCAATGTAGATTTATAGATAATTTTTTTCATTATTATAAAATAGTCAGTTGGCCGTTCTTATCCATCGTTCATTATATTTCAGAACAGGTCTGTGATAGAACAATCATCACGTTAAAAAAAAAAAAAAAATTAAAAAATCGTCACATAGCGACATGTCGAGAGTAGAGAACTCCCACATGCTGCGCGTTGTGAGGCGTGCAAAAATCTGTATTGTGCAATATTTTGTTAATAGATGAATAGATTACCTTGATACCAAGAGCAGCTTCATCATCAAGAGGACCCTCGTACAACATTTCCATACGGTATTTTTGAGCAGTTACGGGTGATGGAAGATGAATGGCTATCATCTGAAGTAAAGCTTCACCAGCTGGTAACCAAGTTCTCATTACAACCTTCAAAAGAGCTTTTCCGTCCTTGTCTTTGTCTTCAGGCTTCAAAGTGATACCCAATTTGGCAAGAAGATTATCAGCTTCTTCTTTCTTGTAATTCATGATGCAGTCAAAGACCTAAAAACAAAAAACAAAAAAAAAAAAAAAACAAAAAAAAAAAAAATTAATCAATACTCATTCTTTTTTTACACAAAAAAATATTTATTCTTTAAGTAAAAATATTGAAGCTGAGTCGTAGCAATGCCACTAACGAACATAAAGATAGAGGTCCAGTGGCAGCGTTTAAACACAGTTACTTTTTACTCTCCTTCCATTAGCGCACTGTATACACTGTCCCAGTGCTCTAATCAGCTTTCAAAGAAAACTAATTATTGTACTACAGCGAAACGCGAATGTGCTGGAAGGAAATTAAAAAAAAACATACTTAATAAAAAAAATATCATTACCTTGTAAATTGGGTCCAAAACGTACATACAGAAGGAACGTTTGTTGTCAGATTCTTTCTGTTTGCTCCATTTCTTGGTCTTGGGATTGAAGAATGATTCTCCCCAAAGACGGTTCATTAACTTAACAGTATCGATCTTGAATTTCTCAGCGTACATTTCAGAGAATTGTTTGAGAGTAAAGGCCCAACCGTGGAGACCTGATCCAAAACCAACGGAACCTTTGCTCGGGTCAACCTATTCAAACCAAAATTCAATTATAGTAAATAATTTAATTACACGTGTGTGCAAACATTATAAAATTTTGAAAAATTAAAAATTTAAGTTGCTTACTCTAACTTCACCCATGGGACCATCATCATCAGAGTATGTAGCGATAATAACGTTGACATTTTCAACAATACGTTGGAAAGTCTGATAAAGATCTTCACTTTCCAATTGGAGCTCCAATAAAGCACGGTCCATCTTGTTCATGAATAAAACGGGCTTAATACGCTCAGCAATAGCTTGACGCAATACAGTCTCAGTCTGTACACAAACACCTTTGAAATAAAACTTCTAATTATACTCAATATTCATTAAAAATATTTCAATCAGCATGAGAAAATTTTAAACGTACCAGACACACAATCGACGACAACAAGGGCACCATCGGTGACACGAAGAGCAGCTGTTACTTCACTTGAAAAATCAACGTGACCAGGTGAGTCAATCAAATTGATCAAGAAACCTTTCTCTGCTTTATCACGTTGGTCAGGATTGGTGATGAAGACCAAATCTTTCTCTTCGAGCTCGAAGAACATAGAGATGGCACTAAAGTTATCAAAGTATATAATTAGTTGATGTTAAAAAGTTATTACCAAATAACTGCTGACAAATTATAACATACGTTGATTTAATTGTAATACATCTCTCCTGTTCATCTTTACGCGTATCAGTGAAACGCGTCTCACCAGCCTTTGCACCGGCAATAATACCAGCCTTGGACACAAGGGAGTCTGTCAGAGTTGACTTTCCATGATCGACGTGCGCAATGACGGACATATTTCTGATGTTCTTCTTCTTGTCCATCATCCCACGGATCTCGTCTACCGTAAAATTCACCTAAACAAAGGAAATATAAATTAGTGACAATACCATTGATGATGAACACTCAGTGAATCGATTGAAAAAAATTCATTGTTATAGTTGAGTTTAAGTAGGTAGATAAATTATTACTATGACGCGCTGATGCAGACCCCGTGACATGCCTTCTGATGTCGTGGGTTGGCAAACATATTTTGATAAAACGCATCATGAATTCAATTAGTAATTTATAAAAAAAATTATAAAACTAAACCAATATATACTTGAAAATGAAAAATATTTCATTTCAATTAAAATTGATGATTAATGACAAATAATGTGAGCACAATGAGGCGCCCAATAGTTGCGCAATCTGGAGTAATGCAAAACTTATATCCATGTTAGATAGATATGAATAGATATTGTTAAAAAATATTAGAATTTTCATATTGTCGATGGCGTATATATTAATGTAAATTTATATGTTTATAATTATTTTACATACCATCTTGGATGTTTTTCGATTATTCTCGGCCTGATTAAAACTGTACGTGCGCCAACTATGGCGGACTCCCTGGGAAAGAACAGGAGAACTGCGATCACTGATGAACTGACCGCGTAACGAACGCTAGAGGTCGCACTGCCACGCGTAACTTGTGCGACGGCGTGTTTCTCAAGTTACACCAACTCGACCAACACACGTTCTTTTTTCCCTTTTTCCTTCCGCCATGTTTTTTTTTTTTTTATTTTACTTACAATCTGAGTATAGGGGTCCTTTTTACCCTCCATACTTATACAGTTTATTCCATTTTTAAATGTTTTCATGAAGGCAAAAAATAATTAATTAAGTAACTACTTACTTTGTGAATATAAACACTTATTTTTAATATGAATAGAGTGACGTTAAACATCTTAATTTTCAGCTAATATACAAATTTCTCTAAGTTTTAATTTTTTAACTTCACAAAAGAAAGTATACCTATTATGGCTTAGTCGGCGGGTAATTTAAAAAGTATTAAAATAGATTATATAATCTCACAATTGGAAAAAAATTGTAATCGTTTACTTATATAATTCTTATCAATATACATATATATATATAAAAAATATGTGATCAGTTTTTATTTAGACAAGTTTAAATGATTATGGTCAAATGAATCATTCGGAATTGAACTTTGACAATTGTAGAAAAAAAAATAAAAATACCTCTTGTATTTCTAAAATTGTATTGACATTTGTTATTACTATCAATGTATAATTCTTATCAGTTTATAAATTTATAATTTAATTAACGAAATAAAATCCACAATGATTATGAATGATAATAGTACTAATTACATTTTAATTGACTATAATATCTTTGTCATTCAAACAGTTTCATGACAAATCTGTAACCAATATATATATATATATATTTTTGTTAAAATAGAAAGTAAATTATCCAAAAAAATATGGTAACTCATTCGCGGTACCTATTAATACAGAATAAATCAAAACCACTTGCAAAGATAAATATTAACGAATTCATTTAGGTATTTCAAAATTTGCACGTCTGAAATAAAAAAAAAAATATTCTGTACATGAAAATTTATTTATTGTAGTAATCTTTTAACAGTTAATTTATAAACTATTCGTATAAAAATTCCAGTCAAAGTATGCATCGTAAATTCACTATACATTAATTCGGGATATTAAAGTACATAATTTTATTCGTATTTTAATGAAATATTGTAAACAGTTTAATCTCAAAAATTTATATTCCACGAAAGTTATTGATAAATACTTGAATCATTTAAAAATAATAAATTATTTAAGTATAACATAAGAATTGAAATGATACAAAAATGTTAATTTAATGGATTGATGCATTTAAATAGAATTTAAAATTATTTGAATGGAAAAATTCATTTTTTTTTTTTTTTTTTTTCAAGTTATTTATACAACAGTACCAGTCAGACTTAGATGAATATAAAAATTTATTTGAAAATTTTTATTATAGATCAATATTAATAATGTAAGTAAAAAATGGAATAAAAGTTATGATGTAGATCGTGGTTTCAACTCTTCATAACATGACCTGAGGAAAATATAATTCTTTTTCATTGGGTTATAAAACTCATGACCTTTCGACCAATCATAAGATACAGCGTAGGCAAATATTTGGCCGTTGTGATTAAAACAGCAACATGTGATGGGTTGTTCCATTGGTTCAGAGGGCTTAAGTTTAGTCCTGGCATCCTTGTCCCAAAAGCTAAATGTTCCATCACTTCCCACCGTTGCGAGAGTACCATGAACTGGATGGAATGCAATATCATTGACAGCGTAAATATCTTGGTAGCCATTTGGTGTTCCATTTGATCGATGACACTTGAATGTAAAATTATCTTTTGGATTGACAGGATTAACGTACTGAATAGCTACGCGTCCTTCTACACTTCCAAGTGCATAACCATTTGGAACTTTCTTTTTGTCTTTGAAGATCGCGACACAACGGTGTTGATATTTAAGTGGTGATTCAATCCGTTTAAATTCTTGAGGAGTTCCTTCAAGTTGATAAATTATCAGACCTCGTCCTGCAGTTCCAACTACAGCCATCGGGTAGTCCTGTATTATATTTAGTTAGCAAAATTGGTTATCATTTATAAATTTATTAATATTAATTAAAAAAAATAGTTATGATACTTACAACATCAGCACAATAACATCTTTCAGGTAGATTAATAACCAACATTGGATTAGGACTTCTCGTATCCCAAAATTTCAATGTCTTATCCCAAGAACCAGTCATAAGACACGAATAATTAGTTCCTTTAATCCAATGGCAAGTTTTAACTGGAGCATCATGAGCTGCTACTTGAACGCTTTGATTTGAACCTAGATCCCAGCACTTAACCATTTTGTCACAAGAAGCCATGAATACCTTTGTTCCATCCTATTTAATATAAAATATAAAATATTTTTTAATTTTTATATTTTTTTTAAGCATTAAGTAATATTAACTAAATTCATAATTTAAATAATAACTAGCAACCAGCAGTCACTGTGCGACTGACGAGAATTACGGATTATAAATAAGAAAACTTTGGGTTAAAGATGTTTTTATATTTCTAATCATACTATACATCATTTGGATACTTTTTAAATAAATTTGAAAAATAATAGCGCTATGACAGGATCAATTACAAATAATTTTATGGACAAATGTGAACAAATTTATAGAACCAATGAACTATTCAAAACTGCTCCAAAAACTCGACATAAAAAATTGACTATCACTGAAAAATATATAAAACCGTGAAAAAGCATAAATTTTTGTTAAGACCTTTCTGATGATACCAAATTTAACTGTAAAAATTTCTTTAAAAATAATAATGTACTCGTCAAAAAATTTTCTTTACTTTCTTAATTATTTAAATCATTAATGAATATCGCTGAAAAAATATCAAAACCAATTTATGATAAAGACATACCCGGTACAAAATTTTTTTTAGTCTCTTAATTACATAAATTAATTTTAGACGTATAATCACATTGACATGGACAAAACAAAATAAATAAATAAACAAACTTTGTTTATCGCGAAATTCGAATCTATTTATAATTACTTCGAAAACCTATCATAATAAATTAACTATTGCTGAAAAGCATATAAAAAATTGAAAAGGCACACATTCAGATCATGATTATTCTAATAATATTAAATTTAATTTTAAAAAACTCACTTTACCATATCAATATGCCAGAGACAAAATTTTCATTATTCTCTCAATGATGTAGATAATTAAACAAAAATTTTTCTAAATTATGTTTAATTTATTTAAAAATAAGAAACATTGTCATTTATAGGATGATTACCGAATGTTGTTATAATATCATTTTAATGAGGTAAAAAAATCTAATTACCGAAAATAAGAGTAAAGGTAAAATTGGAGCAATATCCTTACATACTTATTTCGAATAAACTGCTTACTTAATCTGTTAATTTTACCATGTATTAAAATATCAAAAGTAAATTCTTACATCATGCCAGCAAACATCCAATACAGGACCTCCCATTGTTTGCATAGATTTTGGGACAGTTTTTCCTGTCTGTTCAACTTCCCAACATCTAACATTACAATCCCAAGAACCGGCAACCAAAAAATTATTTTGGATTGACGACGGACTAAATGCTAAACTAGAGATTGAATCATCTGGAGGAGAAACTACTTCAAAATCTTTCATAGGATTTGCAGAACTTGGAGTTCCGGTTCCCAATGCTGTACTTTGATTGAACATCTTTGAATTTTAATCTAAAAGATTAAAAAATAATAATGTGAAATAAATATATTTCAAATAGAGGTTAAATGTTAATATTTTTTAGCATGATTAAAAAAATTAAAAATGTAAAATAATTATGTCATAATACTCACCCAAGTATAATTTTCGTTGAAAAATAACAGTGTGATTTAAGAAAAATTGTCAACAATTGTCTATGATTGTTTCTTACATCAAATTCGGCAATAAGCCAACAACCACCAACACATAACAATCTTCTATAATACACTTACGTGAACATGTGTGTATCAATTATCGTAACGTGATTGGTTAAAAGTAATTATGGTATACATAAATAAGTGTTGATTTAAGGCTGCACTCGCATTGTACTACAAAGTAAAGCGTGCTATACAGAGAAAACAGAGAATTGGTTCACAGTCAGGTGTGTGACTACATTTGATTGGATTGGTTAAAAATTTTTCGACATAAAATTCTTCTCTTAGAGAGAAATATTGACTCAATGCTCAATAGAAATAAGGCTTTATAACTAACCTCTCTCCAACTGGCCATTGATTGAGAGATTCGTTGTCAAATTTTTTTATTAAAATAAACATAAATATCAATAAAAATGTCGAAATTAGTTCCAGCACTGATTAATGGAGCAAAAAGTAAGTAATAAACAAATATTTTCATTGTAAACATGAATATTATAAAAATTTATTTTTGAATAAGATTGATAATTCTTACATAACAACAATGATGTCTGATATATTTAATCATTCTAAATTATTAATTTATGAGTATCTATGCAACTAATTATTATTTTTTTCTTTTTATTCTAAACAGAGGTTTACGTTGTGGCTAAACCAGAAGCCGTGAGATTTATGCGATATGCTAAAGTGGAACTATCGCCACCAACTGTGGGAGATTTACCAGCCATTCGACAAGGTTTTGGTAAATTGCTTCATTCAGCCAAAACCGGAGGTTACAAAAATCTTACCGTCTCCGAAGCTTGGCTCAACACCTTAGTTTTCATTGAGGTTTGGTGCTGGTTTTTCGTTGGTGAGGTCATTGGCAAAAGACACCTCGTCGGCTACAAAGTTTAAATTGACAATATATTTAAATATCTTGAAATTTATAGATGTCATTAACTAGATATATCTTTAATTATAATACAAATAATGTTCAGAATTATCAGTGAATAAATTGCAGTTAAACATTTAATGTAATTTTGCGTAAAATTTCTTCCATTAAAATTTTTTATGTATTAGTTTTAAAGATCAAGTATCTGAAATTTTTTGCACAAAGAAAATTATTCTTTTTAATTAACTGAAAATTTGAAAATAATGATTAAATTTATTTTTTATATCATTGTTATGTTTAGTACTCAACTGATAAATTTTTTATTTTATAAATTAGGTAATTCTGAAATTAACACAATTTTAAATGTTAAAAAATATTAGATAAAATTATGTTGAACAGTTTTTGATTGCTAAGATTCATTGCATATTTCGGAGAAATTGAATATCCTACGAAACGTTGCAATAGAACATCACTTTATAATATTTTTGTTGTTGACAATCAATTCTTTAATCACAATTTCGTATATTAAACGAACTTAAAATAATCATTACAAGCCTAAATTAAGAATAAATAGATTTATTTATCTTTATACATATATGCCATACAACATCTGGTAAGTCTCTTTTACATTGCAAATTACATTTATTATAATTAATAATTTAACAACAATAAATAAAAACTATAGTTTATACAATTTTATGAATACATTTAATAACAAAATTTTAAAATTAAGGTAAAATTGACAAGATGTTTTTCATTGATAATTTTAAAGACGGTAGTGATATTTTGAATAAATTTATAGTTATAGTAAAAAAAAAATGTAACTTTTATATTCAAGAAGTAAAATTTTAGTATTGAATTAATAATGCCGATTTAAAGACAGAATTATTTATAAAATAATAATAAATGTTAATGTTGACTATGTCAAAGAATGGTTTTTTGACTGATCACTTTTAACTACTTCAATTTATAAAATAATATGTTTTTTAAAAAACAATTGTTTAATTTGTCGTTGAGTGATTTATTTAATTAATTAAAAACATTTAATTTCTTAAAAAACTAAAAAATTATTTGATTTTTAACTTTTAATCAGTTTTAATCAATGATGGAGTAACCATAATTGTCAACTATTTTATAACTTATTACAATGAATATACATTTATTTTATTTATTTATTATTATTGTTAAATGCTAAAATGAGAAATGTTTTATAATTGATTACACTTCTTTAACTGTTTATTTCAGTATTACTTTTTTCGGAAGAATCAATGACACCCAAATGCTGAACATTCCAGAATTGCTTATATACAGATTGGGATTTCTGTAACAATTCTTGGTGTGTTCCTCTATCAGCAACTTTTCCATTTTCTAAAACTAAAATTTCATCTGCATCCATAACTGTCGACAACCGGTGAGCAATAACAATCGATGTTCGTCCCATAGTTGCACGTCTTAATGCATCCAAAATATGCATTTCCGTAATTGAATCTAAAGCTGATGTAGCCTCGTCAAATATCAATATCGGACTATTTTTTAAAATAGCTCGAGCAATTGCTACTCTTTGTTTTTCACCACCGCTCAATTTCAACCCTCTTTCACCAACCGGAGTCTCATATCCTTTAGGCCATTGGAGGATGATGTCATGTAAATTAGCCATTGCTGCTGCTTCATAAACTTCATCTTTACTTTTATTTAAATTTCCATAACTCAAATTGTAATAAATAGTATCATGAAATAATACTGAATCTTGAGGTACAATAGAAATAGCTTGTCTCAATTCCTGTAAATTTACACCGCAAATATTTTGATCGTTTATCAAAATGTTACCCTTTTGTGGTTCAAAAAATCTGTATAATAATCTCACTATCGATGTTTTACCTGATCCAGATCCACCTACGATGGCAATTTTTTTTCCACTTGGTATTGTGAAAGAAATATTATCTAATATTGATTTTCCTGGAACGTATTGGAAATTAACATTATCAAAAACAATGGTTGATGTTGCAGGTGAAACAACGAAGGGTTTTGCATTAGGTAGATTTTGGATAGCCGGCGGTCGTGCCATTAATGAAAACATTGTTTGCATGTCAATCAATGCTTGTCTAACTTCTCGATAAACAGAGCCTAAAAATCCCAAAGGAACTGACAATTGAAATAGTAATCCATTGACCATGACTAAATCACCAACAGTCATCGTTCCATTAGCTATATTTTTTGCAGCCATTAACATAATCAATGTTAGAGCTCCGCTAAAAATAAAATTTTGTCCAAAATTAAGTAATGCTAAACTGGTGCTTGTTTTTAATGATGCTTCTTCGTATTTTTTAAGTGATGAATCATATCTTTCAACTTCAAATTTTTCATTATTAAAATACTTAACGGTTTCATAATTAATAAGTGAATCAATAGCTTTATTACCAGCTTCATTTTCTGCTTTATTCATGTAAACGCGAAACTTGGTCCTCCATTGCGTAACCCCAAGAGTAAAGGCAGCATAAATACCAACGCATCCTAAAGAAATAGCTGAATACTCAATTCCACAGTTAATTCCTAATATGGTACTGACTAGAGCTAATTCAAATATAGTTGGTACAACATTAAAAACCATTGCTGATAAAACAAAATTAATTCCACGACTTCCTCGGTCAATTGTCTTGGATAATGCTCCTGTTTGTCTCGTCAAATGAAAAGACATATCAAGATTGTGAAGATGGAAGAAAACATTTTTAGCTATTTTACGAATTGAATTTTGTGCAACTTTTGAAAACACAGCATTCCTCAATTCGTTAAATCCAGCAGCACTGCAACGAGCTATTCCGTACCCTAGAAGAAGTGAAGTTACAACAGTAGATATTGTATCTGGAGCCGTACTTAAATTAAGAAGGGCATCACCTCCAGCAGCTACTGATTCAGCATTGATCTTATCAATGGCATGTTTAAAGAAAAATGGGACTGAAACACTAACTATCTTTGAACCGGCTAACAAACCAACAGCCAATTTAACTCTTTTACGTATTTCTGGATCATCTTTTGGCCAAATATAACTAAGCATTCCTTTTATCATATCAGAACTTGTTACCGGTGAACTATCTTTTGATGTCAAAGTTTCTTCACCTAGGTTAGATACTCCGGGGTGAAAACAATTACGTTTTTGTTGACCAGGTTTGTTACCGGTAACTCCATCAACAATTAATGGATTTTTTACAGGTGTAATAACAGACTTTGCTTGAGGAATATTTTTTTTTGCTTGAGCCCGCTCTATACTGTTACCACTATTGAATCTTGCTCCAACAATAGGTTGACATTTTGATAATAAATTGTTATAATACAATTTTTTATTTGAGAAAAGTTTTGTTTGTCCTATTATGGCGTTGTGTTTTGTTAAACAGGGAAAACTGTAACTTATTAATCGGATCACCATTGTTATTGGTATATTTACACAATTTATACTATTTACACTATATTGTGAGCTAGAATGAGTATAAATGTTAAATAATTAATGATGTTGATACCGACTAAACAGGTACTAAATGCAAAAATTTCGTGTAAACTATTTATATATATATATATATATAATAAAATGATGTTCACATAACCTCACATTTTTTAATGTTTTATTTTTAAAAATCTACTGGTCGTAAAAATCAATCAATAGTGTTCCTATTTTCAAATTAATTATAAGTTTTAAAAAAAATATAAATTAAAATTAATATTAACTATTTTCATCGTTACGGTCAAAATTTATTTTTTTCTTAATTTTTTTCATATTTATATTGCTTTTTTAAATATGTTGTCATTATTATATATTTATGTCAAGAGAAAAATTCTGTTTTATCGACAGTTAAATATAAAGTACACACTTATTTTTATTTTTTTAATTATATGAAATATTTACAATTTATCTTTTTATGTTAATATTGACATAGACATAAATACGACAGCATCATTTAGGAGCTGACGTATTTTAAAAAATTAAAAAAAATGTTTAAATACGACGTAACAATCCTGTGACGCAACAAAATTTTATCAAATTTTAATCTAAGGTGATCTATATGTATATTTATATTTATAACATCAGCTGATGCATTGCAATAACCACTTGTGAGTCGTTTCATTTTTGTGTAAATGAATACTGAGCTAAGAAAAAAATTTGTTATTATTTTCATACTGTTTGGATAATAATTTTACCTTGAAAATAAATGAATTATTCGAAATGACAATAATTGTTGTGTTTTATGAAAAAAACTCCGACTGCAAGAAAACTAAAAGAAAAAAATATAGAAATTTATGAATTTTTTTTTAATTCTTTACGGATTATTAATTAAAATATAAATGTTTATTTATTGTTATAATCATAGATAAAAATGAAAGTATCAATGTCTACCATAGCTTTTCTCATTTTTATCTTGATGCTCTCAATTTTTGTTGCCAAAGTAACTAATTTAATTGCTACAGACGTCGAAACGAATGTAGAGACAATTAAACCGAAATATTACGATATTGATGATTCTCCAGATCATCTTATGTGGTTTTTGCAGGTAAATAAAAAATTTTTTCAATATTTGTTTTCTAGTGTTCAGTAATGAAAAAAAAAAAATTAATAATAAAATTTTTTATGTTATAGATCTCAGATATACACATTAGTATTTTTAAAGATTACTCAAGAATAACGGAATTTAAAGAATTTTGTGATATTACAGTTAGGACAATAAAACCTGCTGTTGTATTAGCATCGGGCGATTTAACTGATGCTAAAACTAAGGATGCAATGGGATCTAAACAAATTTTAGATGAATGGGAGCACTATAAAAGAGTACTTAAGGAGACTGACGTTACAAAGAGAACTACTTGGCTCGATGTTAGAGGAAACCATGGTAAAAATTATAATAAATAATTAATAGATACAATTTTATTGTAAAATATATATTTATCAGAATATAATTTTGTTTTTCAGACAATTTCAATGTTATAGCACGTAATTCTTCAGAAAACTATTACACAAATTACTCAGTTCAAGGAAGAAATCATTCACGTTCTTATATACACCAAATATCGGCAAACAAGGAAAAATTTTCTTTTATTGCGATTGACGCTTGTCTTGATCCCGGACCAAGACGTCCATTTAATTTTATTGGTCTTCTGGATAATAAGGAAGTTGATCATGTTAAAAAGCTCGCTCAAGAGTCTCGTCGTTTGAATAGTAATTATATTATTTGGTTTGGACATTATCCTACATCTTCTATTTTGACCGAAGACACACGAAATATTCGAAGCATTATGGGTAAGATATTTTTGTTTTTTAACTTTAATTAAATTTAAAGTTTTTTACCTTTATTAATCATTTTTATTTAGGTGACTATGGGGAAGGGTTGGTCTATCTTTGTGGACATTATCATACTTTGGGTGGTACACTACCCGAAATGTACACTCTTCAACATGTTGGGTTTTTAGAGTTAGAGTTAGGAGATTGGAAAGATAATCGCCTGTACGTACTGAAACTAAAAAAATATTTAACATCCGTTATTGCTTCTGTAAATTACTTATAAATTTACGCTAGGTACCGCGTTGCTGCAGTAGACCATGGACAATTTTCTTTTATTGATGTCAAGCATGGAGATTGGCCTGTGATATTAATTACTAATCCTAAACATGCTCTTTATACAATGCCAAGTAAAGAGAATTTCGAGTCTATTGTTAAATCGACGCATATAAGGTGAAAAAAAAAAAATTATTTAAGATTTCAATATAAGTTCATTTTGTGGATATTATATTGAAAAGTTAATATTTTATTCAATTTTAGAGTTTTGGCATTTTCTACGACACCGATTGAAAAAGTTGAAATAAAAATTAATGATGAACCTTGGATCGATTGTAACCACATTGAAGGACCACTTTATACTATCAAATGGAATCCAGCGTTGTATAAAAGTGGAATACAAATTATACGTGCAAGGGTTGAAGATAAAAATGGTAAACAAAAAGAGATAACACAACCGTTCGTATTAGACGGAACTCGTTTATCGTTTAAATTACTGTCGAGATTTATTCTTATGTCTAATGCCACTACCATAGTAAGTATAATTACTTAATTAATTACAATTATTTAGATCATATATGTGTAATAGTTATTCAATTTAATTTTTTATTTTCAGTTTGGAGTTGCATTTGCCATAATGCACTTGCTGAATATTATACCGTTATGTACGCTTCGTTTTTGTCACAAGCTTTATGAATTGAGAAAAATCAATAGACCTCGAATTAAAATAAATATAATTAGATGGTTAATCAAAAAGTTTTGGATTCTTTCAACAGTGGATCGATTATTCTATCCCTTAATTTTTTATACACTATACCTAGCAATAGGTAAGCTTTCAAAAGAGTATATAGAATAGAATATCGTTTTTATTTGTATCACATAACGTGTTTTACAAAACTGTATCTTATGTTTTAAATTAATTATTTTCATTTGCTTATACACTAACTTTGACTTTTTTTAACATATTAGTACACTCTTCAAAAGGGTATATATTTAATTTGTTAATTGATGTAAATAACTAAATAAATAAATAATTTATTTTCTTTTTAAGGGCCATGGGCTATCGGAGAAATAATAGATGATCATGTTGGTGTAATATTTGCGTGGGGAATGTTTATAAAAAATGCATACTTACCGGGATCGTTTACCTACGCTTATGGATTTTTCCAATTGCTATCATTCCATATGCCTTTAACAATACTTTTGGCTCATAGAATTGATAAACGGTAATTAAAGATTAACTTTAAAATAAAAGCATAAAATTTATAACATTATAAATTGTTTTATTTTCGATGATAGATTTGACGAGTTTGATAGACCATCACGAAAATCTTCAAGTATATTTAATATCTTTTGGGCAAATTTACCATTTCTGCTATTAATCATAATGCAAACCAGTATGACGTACTTTTTTTGGCTGGCTTATGGAACTTTGGCTACTATTTTGTGTCCTCTTAGAACGTGGAGTATAATTTTAGCACTCGTGCTATGGTACCAAGTTTATACACTACCAAATCATTGCTTGAAGTAAGTATCTAAATTTTTAACAGTTTACTTATTAAATATTTACATTCAACTTTTTTTATTATTTTAGATCCGCTAAATACGCATGGTCGACTTCCAAAGAATCAACAATTAACAATAAATAAAACTATCGAATTTCTTAAAATAAAAAGACTTACGTTATGTTAACGAATAAACTTCCGATGACAATTATTACTTAAATACTTTGTTATTAGCAATTCAATTTAGCGTAGGATTAACTTTCTTCCGTGCCATATATGATTATCCAAAGAGATCTAACGCCATGACATGATCTATAATTGATATGGTTAATATGTTATTAAATATTAAACGCAATGTTTGTTAACTGTTTACAGAAGTTAAATTGCTTACTCTATTGCTTAATGATATTCATACTGAAGTTAATGAATATTATATGAAACTCATAAATATTTAAATTTACAAAATTCTACAATGGGATATTCGAATATTATTGGAGATCTCTTTTGATAATTAGAATATAACCAAATCTCTTTATATAATTATTTGTTGTCTATTTTTTGTATGAAAGTCAGAGAAAGAATTATGATAGTAAATTATTTAATATTTCTATAAGATGTTAGATTAAAATCTTGCGGATTATACTTCAGGCATTTTTTGTACACAAAATCACATAATTAATGCACCAGTCGTTGAAATGTTATATTTAACGATTTCATATAGAAATATAAATTACTATTTGAAGAAATAGAATAAACAATAAGTTTAAATAACGATTAAAAATCGTTTAAGTTTCCCTAAACTTGTTCTTAACTTGATAGTTATCAATCAGAATATTTTGACTAAAAGCACATTTGATAATTCATTTACCAACTATATTTTCATAGAAAAAAATAAGATTTTTTTTCCATTTTTTTCTTTTCTTAAAGTGTAGATGATAAATATATAAATACGTAAATTTACAATATTTTTCTAAAGATATATACTTCTCCATGATACTTGTTCTTAAAACTGACTTTTCTTAAATAATCAATGAAAGATATTAATTTTTAATAATCTATTGTGATAAATGTTTATAGATGAAGTTATTATTGTACTATTGAATTTAATTTACCAAGTCTAAATAGATGATGATAACAGAAATAAATGTATTCAACGAAAGTAATGGGAATGATGATAAATAACTGCTGTTTGCATATTATATTATTGTCGTATATTTTTTGACAATTATCATTTTGTTATTTTTAAATAATTGTATTTTTTTGTAACAGCGTGTGCCTCTAATCAGTTTTACCAGCGAGTATAAAAATATTTTATAAATCTTTTATTTATTTTAATTAATGTAAAGTTTATAGAAGTTATTTTAAATACACTAATATGTAAAAATATTTTTTTTCTCTGTTTTTTAAATCCGTCCGATGTAACTTTAAATTAAACTTTTTAATCCCGCCGTGACTCCAGCTGTAGTTCGATATCCAATCAAATAGTTTATCAATATGGCGGACTCATTGTGAAAAAAAATAAAATAAAGCATTGGCTAATGTTCAAGCCTACTTTTTGTTAAATAATTCGGAGTAAAAAAAATTATAATAATGAGTGATAAAAATACTGATGTTTCATGGGCTTTGGAGCTCCTCGCACCTGATCCTACTGTTGAACCACATCTTATTGCTAAATATTTCCATGAAATTCAATGTTCTTTATTTGGAGCAGGAGTTCCTGTTTTAGGTAATGCACTTCTAAGGCGACCAATTTATGCAGGTATTTATTATTTTGTTACTGTTTTATAGCTTTAATTTTTATAAATATTTATATCCGATGTTTATTATTGAAAAAAAAAAAAAAATTAAATGAATAAAAACTAAAAGTTCACTACTGACATGTACAGTTAAATAATAATGTTAACCTCTTCAAATTATGCAATATGATGGATAAAAGTTTTCTTTTATTGTTGATAAGTATTTTAAATTAACAGTTGTAAATAAAAAATTTTTTTTTATTCAAATGCGTTATGAGTTTTAAATTAATACTGATATTACAGTTTTAATTCAATAATTTTAAACATAAGTAATTAATACAATTTTATTTTTTCAGGTATACAAAACATTATTCTAGGTGCAGTAATCGGAGGAGCTGTAGGACATCTTTTGAGAATTCGGGAAAATGGTATTCTTGCAACTCGAGATGCGACCTATCGTGACTACATTATAAGTCATCCCGAAGATTTCCCACCCCCAGGTAACAAATATCTCTCAATTATAATGAATATTGAAGAAAGAAGTAATTTAAGAATTGACATAATTTTGTTGCAGTCACATTAAATATCAAAACGATAAATTATGAAAAAATGTTAATATATGCAACTTTATATTTTTAAATAATTTTTTTGGATTGTATTATTTAGGTCCAGTTTTTCAAACGATATTTTTTCATTAAAACAGGGTTTATTTTCTTTTATTTCTTTTAGATTAGCATAGAAAAAAAACATAGTTTGAAAAACTGGCCCTTAATTGTAGGATTATAAAATAGTCGAATGCTTCTTTTTTCAATATCATTTATTAAATAAATTTGAATCGATTATTCTAAATATTAAAATTATTATTTAACAATTTCAGAACGTAAGAAATTTGGAGAAGTATTTTATCCGTGGTTACCAATGCGTTAGGACATCAGTTTTTAGTTTATATATTTAACACAATAATAATAATAATAATAATAATCTTAAATTGGATTAAATCAATTATACCTTATCTAAATACGTGGATAAATGTATACGCGTTCTGTAAAATATACTGTTGATTTAAAGATATTGTAAACTTATAAACAGAACTTTATTTATTATCATTCATTCAACAAGAAAAGCAACATTCGTTGAAAAATTCATACTTAACATACTGTTTACATGATTTGAGGAAAATATGTGCATAAATTAATCATTTGACTTAAAAATTTTATTTCAAGTCATTATAAACGTGAAAGCCAGTTTATTTCTTCTCAGGATCATAGTTATCATTAATTATACCAGAGCCTTTTGCATCTCCTAGCCAAGGATATTTATTCGGGCATTCAACACACGTCTCCATATATCTGATAAAAAGAAAAATATTGCAGAACATAATTGAGATATTTGTTAAGTAAAAAATTCTTCTTCTTACCTTGTTGCCGTAAAATTAGCATCGGATGGTTTAAAATCAAGAGCACATTTGTTAGCATTATTGCACGGTGGACCAGGATCATTTTCAACTTTTTTACAAGACCATGGTTCATAATTATTCAAAGCTTTTAGAGGCTTAGGATCTGTAATCCATCTTAAAGCTTGAGTTGCAGTAACGAAGTAAACGTCAGGTCTGAAATTTATAAACAATTATTATTATTATTATTTGATATACATTAGGGTGGTGCAAAAAAACCCGACTATTATTTTTTTTTGAGTCTCGAGTGAAAAAATGTTAGTTTTTAATGTTTTAAGAGCTTTCTCCAAAGGACAGCTTAAAAAAAATTTTAAAAGGTCGCTCATAATTTTTTTTTAATTTATTAGTGACTATTTAATTGGATTAGCATTTTTTGACTCTGAAATTTAAAAAAATTATGAGCGACCCTTTGAAAATTTTAATTATTAATTGGTCTCGAGTGAAAAAATGTTAGTTTTTGATGTTTTAAGAGCTCTCTCCAAAGGACAGCTTAAAAAAAATCTTTAAAAGGTCGCTCATAATTTTTTTTTAATTTATTAGTGACTATTTAATTGGATTAGCATTTTTTGACTCTGAAATTTAAAAAAAATTATGAGCGACCTTTGAAAATTTTAATTATTAATTGAAACTTTCAGGAACTTATTTTTTTTTGGTCTATAAAATTATGACGTAACGAGAAAAAAAATAAAAAAAAAAAATTTCGATTTTTAACGATTTTTGAAATTTAAAAAAATTTGGAGCGACCTCTTAAAATTTTTTTTTTGAGCTGTTCTTTGAAGAGGGCTCTTAAAACATCAAAAACTGACATTTTTTCACTCGAGACTCAAAAAAAAATAGTCGGTTTTTTTACGCCACCCTAATATAATATACATGCATATCAAAATTATTAAAATATTTTTAATGAAAATTTCTATTTTCATATAAATTGTTATGATCATATAATATTTGTTTTGAAGTAATTTTTAATTCGACAATTATCATTATTACTTTGAGAAAGTTTTAGAGTGGATAAATTATTGTATAATAAATTTTTATATTGAGCGGTTTCTGAGAAAATAAAACTGGGATTAATTATATCACTAAGCAAAATTAAATTTAAATAAAATCTTACAATGTAATAGTCCAGTCGAGAAATTTGGCAAGACCTCTTTCCAATTCTTTGATCTGAAACCAGTTTGTATGGAATGGCATCATGTAAGGAGCACGATTTTGAAGATAATACCGATTAAAATCTTCTTGCAGCCACTCGAAAACTTCTTCAGGATCATGATTATGAAGAACACACTGATCTAAGTAAGGACAATGACCACCTTCGTAAGTCTCGACATAGTGAGCATTAAGAGGTATTTCCCAAACTCCTGGGAATGATTTAGTCGGGCAAGTTCCTGCTTTACATTCGTGAGGAATTTTATGGTCGAGAGTGTAAGGCCAAATTGGTGTTTTTAATGGAGAAATTCCAATACTGCTGTCATATATGTACCCAAAATCTTCAATCACTTTGTATTGGGTGTTTCTACCAGGTTTAAGGTATGGAGCACGCATTCCAGTGATTTCGTTGATACTGATGTTTGAAAAACGTCGTAAAATCTCTCGCATTCCAATCATTTCACCTACCCACTCTTCGTACCCTTTGTCTTCTAAGCCTTTTTGCAATCTATAATTTTTATTAATTCGATTATTTATTTAATTAATCAATGCTCATATCTAGTTGAATTTTAACTTACGAAATAGTTTCAGTAGCTATCTCATGACCATCATGAGCTAGACTTTGAACCATATTATAATTACAATATTCGTGAGAAATAAAAAATGTGCCCTTAAGCGGACAATTGTTTGGATTCAAACGATCGTTGTTGAATATTTTTTGATAGTGATCAAAATTGTTGTGATTTACTGCACCATCAAAAGTTAGAAGAATCATTTGTGGAGTCTGAAAATCAAAATTAAAGTTGGATATACAAAATTGATAATAAATAATTTTCTAAATATTGTATATTTATTTGAGTAAGCACTGACATCTTCAGGTGCAAGTCCTCCAGGTATTATTGTTCCATCGCGAGAGCAAAAGCAGTAAGGAAGTTGACAGGTGGATGTGTCACAACGTTCAGCCAAATCTGTGGGTGTCTCGGTTACTGGTGCAGGAGCTTATTTTATGAAAATAAAAATAAATTTATCAGTTTAATAAGATTAATTTGAATGAAATAAAATAACTTACTTGTAGGAATAGGCCCACATCTTGCTTCATTTTTAAATGTACAAAATTTGCTGATATCATCAAAATGTAATCCTGACGGGCATCTGTTTAAGTATGGATATCCATCTACACACTTTTTCAAAAAATTTATCCATCAGCAAATGTAATAAGAATAGATCTTTTCATAGAAAAAAAAAAAAAAAAAAATAAAAAAACTTACTTGATAAAATCTTCTGCATGTTGCAGGATCAGCAAAATTACCATTACCCTGTCCTTCTGGGCATGTAAACTCTTCATCTTTTTTTTCGTCTTCTTTTTTAGCTTTTTGACAGTTAACTGCAATCAGATGAATTATATTAATCGTATGTCTCATTTTTATTAATAGTAAAAAAAAAAAAAAAAAAAAAAAACTATAACAAATTAAGTCGTATTTAGGTCTTGAGTTACTTATTCAAAACTCTCGGTACCAAATCAATTCCAGCTTCCTATTGTAAGTGGCAATACAACAATAATTATTCTGTGATATTTTAAACTTTAAAAACATTTAATAGGTGTGGTGTATGACGATCAGAAAAGAGTCAGAGAAAACGTCGATAGAGCAAAGTGATTTGAGAAAGTATACTGTTATTCTAAACATTCTAATATAAATGTTGACTCAAGAGAATTGATATCTCTTCAAATAGTAATAATACTCCGTTACAACACTTCCTTAATTTTTCATCTAATGCTATGCCATAAATTAATGACATTTATTAAATAGTTATTTTAATCAAATATTACTAATTTAAAAAATTTTCTTTTTCATATTAAATAATAAATAACAGGTTAAATTATGAATACAATACAATAGAAGTTAATAATTAACGAAGAAACTTATTTTTATAGTTAAACAGGATATAATGCAACTCCTTTGTTATTATAATGTTATCGACTAATGAATACTATTAAATAATAATTTCTTGTTAATTTTTAGCATAAAATACTTCTTTTTTCAATTCCAAGAATATTATACAATTATAGAGAATAAAAATATAGTATCCAAGTGAATTATATTTATAAATCGAATTTTCAATTTTATTAGTTTAATTTTTTAATAATTAATAGCTCAGCATTACTGTATTGATAGATTAACTTGAGTTAATACAAATTATCTTAGTTAAAGGTGAATCATTTTAAAAATTTTATTTCTATAAGAGGATTCTGGGTAAACTTTCTAAAAAATGGAATTGATTAATATTCAAAAATTAATAAATCGTCTGAGTAATTAACAATAATAAAAATGTAAAAAAAAATTTCCTCTGATGAATAAAATTTTTTTGTAATTTCTAATTAACTAAATAATATTAAAAAGTAATTTATGATACAAGTTTTAATAACTCCAGTGAATGTTACTGTAATATGAAACAAAAATGAAGAAGAAAAAGTATTAAACACAGACTGTATGTGTCAATATAATAATAATAATAATAATAATAATAATTTTTACCAATGAATATTAAATTTCTATTAAAACTAAATTTATTATTGTTACTTCACTTTTAATCACTTTTTATTACATGATCATAATTATATATTTTACAAATGAATTAAATATATTAATTTTATAGAGAAAAAACAAACTAATTATTACCTGCAATCACTGTAAAAACAGTTAGTATAAACACAGTTTGAAATTTCATTATTTTATTTCATACAATTTATTTTTAATTAAATAGAAAAATCTTTTACAATTGACGATTGAAAAAGATGTTTGTTATACAAGTAGAACAGACCACAAAGAAGTATCATTTGTTTATATCTTTAGCACAATTTAATAAACATTTAAATAATTAAAAGTATAAAATTATAAATTTATTATATTATATTTATTAAAACAGTAACTTCCACTTAGTATATCAGACACAATCCAACACCAACTGCGTTCTGATGAACTACTAATGAAAGGTTTTACTGAATGGTCGTCGAGCACTTTCTATCCACCCAACATCATCGAGGACGCTCGGTGAGAAAAGTGGATTTTATTTGTCGACATGCGATTAAGTCAGTAACATTATCATTCTTGATTCCTCGTTTTCACTTATTTTTTTATCTGTATATTTACAAAATACTTATTCCATAAATACTAACATTTTATTTAATTCAATTCTAAATAATATATATATATTCAAAAATCTAAGTAAATGTTTACTTTTAAATCTTATTAGAAATTATATAAATTACTATTTTTTCTTAAATAAAAACTAAATCCTTTTAAAATTACGATAAAAAAATAAAAATAAATTGCTTTTTTATGACATACAGTTTATGAGATTAATTTACAACGATAATAAAATATTATTGATTCAGATTCAGATTTAGGTGATGGTGATGGCTATGGGTTAAATGGTCGATGGTGAAAGTCAGAAAGCTTAGAATATATCTTCATACATACTATTTTCGTCGATTACAATCATGAACGTTGAACTTGAAATTTCTCACCACTTGTATGTCGTGTTAAAGTGGAATATACGTATATCTTCTTGTGGTGTCTTAGCTATGTCATATAAAATGTAAAGGAGAAACCAGTCGGCTGGGTAGACACAGACCCACATTCTCGCGCGAAAGCAAACGTGTTTTTTTTTAAATACATTTTTTATACCTATATAGTATAGTAGATTGGGTTTGGTAGTTCCATCAGGTTTCTCTTATTTTAGCCGGACATTGATGACACAAATACTGATAAACCGAGCCATCAGGTTTTACCCAGACATATCGATTACAATCAGCTCACAATAAGCAAAAAAAGTAACAAATATTTATTATGGAATTTCATTTATATCATATTTATTTATTTATGTGGTTAAGATTTATAATTCTACTCGAGCTATTTGAGGGCCTGGTTTATGTTTTATTATCGTTTTTCTTTGTTTTTCCGCAGTTTTGCCTTTCACTGATGACCTTCCCTTCTTATTCTGCACGTAAGGATTTGAATAATTTGGCTCACGGCTTATTATATTGAGTTCTTGTAATGCTAGGTCCAATATTTCAATAGTCGGTTGATCCAAAAGATACCGGTTTTTGTTAATAAATATCATCGACCACTTCAGGGAATCAAACGAGGTTTTTTGTTTCTTCAATATTCGTCGAGTTATATCTGGGATTTGCAGCACTATATCACTAAATAATGCTGTATTTTCTGAGAGAGCGAATAAAGCTGTAATAAAAATCAAGATTATAATTAAACTATTTTTTACTATTTGATTTTATTTTAATTAAGTAATAATAATAATTTTTTATTATTTTTAATGGATTAGGTAATTTTACGCAAGCTATAAAATTAAATAATTTATCTTATCGATATTTTCGTATGTAAATTAAACAAAACATGCATGAAATTAAACTTTAGTTTATTGTAAAAATAATTAATAATTTAAAACTTACAATCGGTTTGCTTTACATCTGAGAATAAATTGTCATGATCCAAAAAATCTTCGAAATCTTGAAAAATTTTTTGTTTTTCAGTAATTATTTTAACCATTTGATTAATTATTTTAACAATCATTTCATACTTTCTTTCATACGACTGTAAATTTTTAATATTTTGTACAGCGTGAAAATGCTCACGCCGAAATGATTGGAATAATTTTTTGACTATTTTGCTATAATTAAGGAAATGTATAATATTTAAACAAATAAAAGTTTTTTTTTTTTTCAACAAGAGATATTTTATTTATATTTCAACCATCAACTATTATGTTTGTTTCAAATAGGGAAGATTCACGTTCTAACTTCTTTTTTATATCAAGAAGAAAAAGTAAAGATTTATGAAACTAAAAGCATTTTAAATAAAATTTTCAGATTAATAGTTACATTTAATAAAATGAAAGAATCTAGTCTATGGATTATAATTTATAATTAATAAATATAGTAATCGTGAAGAAAAAGAAAAGTAATAATGAATAATTTTTTGTACAATGTTGCATATCTTTAGTTAATGTATATTAATATAACTACTTTTTAAATAAAGAACAAATTTGTAATTTGGAATTAAAAAAAAAATTGTAAAAAAAATAACTTTTTGTTAATTAATTCTATATTAATTCAAATAAATTGAAAAATTTTTAGAAAACTTGTAAATGCAAATTAATTTTTGCTTTTAAATTTTATAAAAAAAAAAAAAAATCATCCCTTACATGAAAATCCATACTATATAAAGTAAAAACAAAAAAAAAAAGGATACGATGTTGTTGTTTTTCAAATACTGGAGTTTCATTATTGCTATTGTTGATTGGTTCATTTTCTATATGTTCTGTAGCCTCTTGCACGCATGCTCGATGAGCATTCAACAATAAAACACCGCAAATAAATAATAAATGCATTGTAAATACAGCACGGAATTATTAAAAATTTTTTCAATATAAAAATATAATTCTATATATTACTATTTGAAGTTGTATTTGCTATAAAATAAAAAAATATACTTATTTATATTATTCGTGGGTGTAAAGTACATATACGTATACTTTTTACCGACAAGCCATGTTGGAAACTACTAGTACCACCTAGCTTTCTGTCATGTAAACATAATTATCTGTCAAGAAAATTAATCAAATTACACGTAGCTTAGTGGCATTTAACATCACAAAAATTGTGTATTTACCAAGTTTTAATATTATTTACTACGCGTAAATATATGTTTCAATAAACTTCCAAGTCCTGAAATTATCAAACAATTACTAATTGTAATTAATTCAATGTTTAGTTAATTAATCAACTTGTTATTATCACGTGAATAAACAGTGGACATATATTTTTTAATGATATATCAATTTTTTTTTTCTAAATACTCCAAAATATCTTTTTATTGTTTTCAATATTTTTGCTTATTATTGGTATTTAAATATTGAAATTCTAAACTATTAATTGTTATATATTTCCAAATAGTTAATATTAAATCAAAAGCCGAATGAATTTTTGCTCAGTTGTTATTGCGGTACTTTAATTAATTTTTTAATAAATGTTTAAAAAAATAAGAAAAAAATATTGATAGTTTGTTGTAAAAAATATTTTCAATAAAAATGGATCCAATGTCATCAACAAATGAAATCGGAATGCATGATACTAAATTGGACGTAAGTTAAATGTAACCTCTCAGTGAATTTTATTTAATAGAGTCTTTAAATTATTTATCAATCATTATTTTTTCAGATGTATGACGATGTATTATACAATATTGATCCTCAAAATGTCGAAGGAGAAATGACCGTAGGAAGTACAAGACAGCAAGCTAATCTTGGAGAACCTGAATTTAATACTTTAGATGAACCTATTAAGGATACGATTGTACGTTTTTGACAAATTAATATTTACATAAATGGATAAATATATTTTTTAATTTCAGCTCAGAGATCTTAAGACAGTTGGTAACAAATTTTACCATGTTATTTATCCAAAAGAAAAGTCAAGCTTACTTAAAGAATGTAAGATATTTACTAATTTGTTTTAAAACATTTATCACAATAATAATTTCCTGTATTTTAGGGGATCTTTGGGGTCCTTTGGTGTTATGTACGTTCATGGCAATGTAAGTTTCTTTTTCATGAATATATTTAATTTTTTTTTTTTATTGCGATGATAAAGTTCTGTTGAAAAATACTTTCCTTAACTTAAATTTAATATTTTTTTATTTTAATTTTCTTTATCTGTATCATACAAATTTATTTATTTATTTATTTTTTCTTTAATATCTATATGGAGTATAAAAAGTAGTTGAAAAACTTTGATCTTGAATGAATTTTTAATAACACAAGAATTATTGATTTTTAAAAATTTTAATTTTTACGATGAAATATTGATATTTACGCTAGAAACTTACTATCAATGCCTCCTACCATATTTGACTTCTGAAATAGCAACTTGTTTTGTACTTAAATATTCAGGAATCTACCTGTGATCTACCAAAGATAGCAAATTCTTAAATTACATAAATTGATCGATTTCAAATGCTACTTTATTTGTCTACAGAAATTAAATTTACAAAGAATTGTTGATTAGCTTACTTACTTATTTTTTTTTTTTTATTCTTATTTTTCTTTTCAAATTTTTCAATATAAATCCTCGCACAGAAAAATATTCAAAAATGTTCAAAAAATTTTTTCAAAATGAAAATACAAAATAACTTATAAACTTATTTTACTGAATTACGTGTACTTTAATGTAAATAAAATGTATAATTTTGTCATTCGGCTACTGCCTTGGCATTAAAACTAATAAATAAATAAATAAATAAATAAAAGTACAATTTTTTGTTAATATTGTTATTTATTACAATTTAGGATCTTGCAAGGTTCTGCTGATGATACAAATTCAAATGATGGTGGACCAGAGTTTGCAGAAGTATTTGTAATAGTATGGATTGGATCGATGATCGTAACATTAAATTCTAAACTATTGGGAGGAAATATGTAAGATTATTCAATAACATTTTATTGTGTAAATTATTCTTCATTTAATAACATAACTATTTATTGTTATAGATCGTTTTTCCAAAGTGTTTGTGTCCTGGGTTATTGTCTATTACCAACGACAATAGCTCTCATTGTATGTAAAATTATTCTTCTATTTGAACAAACAACTTATTTATTTTTTATTCGCTTAGTTGTTGTAATTGTTGGATTTGTTTGGGCCACTTACGGTAAATATTGTCATAAATTTATTTATAATAAATTCAATAACATTTCTTTAATTAACAATACATTTTACAGCGTCAACGGCTTTTCTTGGTGACAGTCAACCACCTCAACGGAAACTTCTGGCAATATATCCAATATTTTTGTTTTATTTCATTATTTCCTGGTTAATTATTTCTCATTCCGCATAAAGTAAATCTCAATCCTTCCGAGATTAATCTATGCACAAATCAATGACTTTAATATAAAATTTTAAGAAGACCGAATTCTAGCATTTAACTAAGTGAAGGTATTTTTTGTTCTAAGTTAAAATAATGTACATGAAACATACTGATTGATGAAATTAATATTTAAATATCATCAATATTTTGATATTTAAACTTAGTTGTCATTTTATAAGTAAATAGAAAAATTTTTTAAAGTTAGTAATTTAAATATATACTTTGATAAATACCATAATAATTAATTTTGACACGTGATGTAAATTGTATATAATAATAATAATAATAATAATAATAATAATAATAATAATGATCAAACATAACATTTTTGTTGTTTTCTTATTTATTGAATCTTAAATAAATTAATTAAGAAAAAGAAAAAAATGTGCATGATTTAATCATAAAAAAAGTGATGCTGAAATTGTTCAAAAAGAAGTTTAGTATCTAGATGACTTGGGTACGCATAAAGCGATTTTTGAACTGCAAGGTAACTAGTTTGTAAGTCACCGATCTAAAAAAATGTTATTAATTAGTTTTTAGATTATTTAGAATTAGAATTATTGATTATTGAACTAGTGATCCTACCTGATGTGCTAAGTAAGCACTATTGAAATGGGGTTCATGCATGTAATCAACAATACTTGCAGCCGCATGAAAATACGTTCTAGCTGCAGTTACATTTCCTTTCTTTATTTCAAGAACTCCCAAATTATTATACGAGCTGGCATGTCTATTATCTATTGATATTGCTAATCTGAGACATTCTTCAGCCAATACATAGTCACCTCTCACCTAAAATTATTTATTCTTCAATAGGTTTTGACTATCAATTATTTGAATTTTTTACAGATTAAAAAAAGAGGAATTCATTTTATTGCACCATAAACGTATACAAAAAAATCATGTATGAAAAAAAATTTACACTTACAATGGCTATATGAGAGATATTGTACCAAATATCAGCAGCATTTTCATTTGTAGCAAGACTTAAAGCTCTTTCAAAGCATGATATCGTATGATCCCACTGCTGTGCGTAAAAACAACACAAACCAAGATTGTTAAGTAATTCAGCGTTGTACACACCCATTTGAAGTAATCTCCTGTAATTAAAAAAAAACCAACTTTATTAGATGAATTAAACAAATAATAAAATAAGTTAATCGTTATAACTAATGAATTAGTACCGATAATATCGTAATCCCAATTCTGGTTGATCATTGTAAAAATGATGCATTCCTATACTGGCTATTGCCTCACTATTGGCAGCATCTTCCTGTGCTACCATTTTATAATATTTAACAGACATAGTTGTACTATTTAATCCCTCAAAAACTCTTGCCATTTCTGTGAGAATAGTCACCTTTAATATTGAAGGTAAGAATTAAGTTTAGTTTTTGTAAAGAGAAAAAATTATTTAATATTTACTGACATCATTAGGAAAATATTCAAGTCCTCGTTTACATAAATCTAACGCAGCTAAGGGTTGATCAAGTCTTATAAATACTCTAATCAATCTTGTTACAATGTCTATATTTTTATGTTCTTTTAAAGCTGATTTAAATTGTTCTTCTGCATCTCTGACAAGTCCAAGGGTGTAATAACATTTACCGAGTTGCACTTTCCACCACCAATCTTTAAAATTAGATGCTTGAATTGCCTGTACTGCTAAATCTAACGCCTGTAATTTGTCAGCATGTATTTTATTTAGTTACAAATTTTATATTCATTTTAATTGATATGTACTTATTAATTTAGTAGACTAACATTTCTTGCATCATGCTCATGGTAAAAAATATATTCAAAAAGAGGTTTTGCAATTCCACTTTTACTTGCATACTTAGAGATATTTAATCTCGAAATTTGAATAAAAGGTCCATTAGGTTCTGATAACATTGAAGCTGTTCCAAGCCTCACCGCACGCCCTGATGAAGTAGTTATAGGTCTTGCAGTCATTGCTGTACGAGGTGTTCTTAAAGCTTGTTCGACGGTTTTAGCAGTAGCAGATTGTGTCATGGGCCTTATTGTACCAGTAACAGGTCTTCCTGAGTAGGTAAATAAAAATTTGCTGATACTTCATCGTAAAGGATTAAATTGATAACTGATTAATGAAAATAAGTCAATTACCTGATTGGGTTTTAGGACGAATTCCTTGACCTACCATTGATGTACCTGGATTTTTTAACGATGTACCAGGTCTAGGCATTGAAGCTATGGTGTAATTATCTAATAAACTTTCAGCAATGCCTTCTTCTTCGCCTTCAATATCGTCCACATACAATTGTAAAGTTAGGGCACGCATTTTTAATACCCAGACAGCCTTTAAAAGTTAATATAATATAATATTTTATTAAAATTATTCAACACATTATTGTCTACAATTATAGATGTAAAACAAATTATACCTGATCTAATGGTTTTTTCCTCAATAAATTGGTACATATTGATGCACACTCTTCATATTTTCGACGGTTAAATAAGCTTATCGCATTAAACAGTTCCATTTTTATTGTTAAGCTTTAGTATTTTTGATGTTGACTAGTTTTCTAATGACTCAATGAATACACCTGCTCCATACCTGCTGTGTTGTTACTCCATGTAGTAAAATATCGATTATTTTTATTACACTCATAGCGCTCAATAAGCAAAACGTCACAACAATAATTTTTTGTTGTTTAATATCAAATGATATACAATAATTAAAATGTATTTTTATTGAAAAATTGTGTAAAAACATCTAAAATAAAAAGTTTTTTATTTTGTTTATATGATCCATATTATTTACAAACTTTTGATTGAATGATCTATTTTGAAAATTTTTTTCAGTTCAGCAGTTTAAAACAGATCACATTTTTACGAATTAGAATTATCATTCACGGCTATTCATAAATAAATAAATAAATAAATTAATAAAGGAATTTTCTATGAAAGTTTTATTATGGCTAATGTAACTTTTAATCAATTTATATGTGAAGCTATAATTTATCACTGATAAGTTTTTAATTGAATTTAATTAAAAGTAATGTAAGATTGCCCTTATAGCTTTCTAAAATTTAATTCTGTACGTGGAATTTTTTTTATGATAATTTATTTGTTAAAAAACTGTAAAAATTGATCGATTTCTATTATTTTCAGTATCTTCAAAATTTTTGGATCGTAATTTTTTTTAGAGAATATCTCCAATATTCATAAAGGTAGGTCATGTAGTAAATGTATTTTCAGAAATTGTATTTTTCCTAATAATACTAAAGTTAGTCAACGTTTTTAATTTTTTGATTTTGTTTCAATAATTAAATTAAAACAAAAAAAATATTTTTTAAAAATTGCACTTACAGTTTTTCAAGTTTTTTACAAATGAATTTTTTTTTTTAATTTTTTTGTAATAATTGTTTCAATAAAAAAAAAATTCTAAAAATTTTTAGATATGTCGACTAACTTAATTTTCATTTTTTCCAATTGTACTCTTTGAGCAAATTTTTAAAAATGGAACTATTATAAAACTTCCGCAATAGTTAATCCGTAGATTATTTTTCGGAAACTTTATTTAATTTGATTTCAAAATTTATTAAGACATTATTAGAAAAATAAAATTTCTGGAAATACATCTACTAGCAGGTACGGGCGGGCAACAATTAAATTGTAAATAAATTCCATACTTATCTATCATGTGGTCGAATATCATGTGATTAATTTTTCTCTATTATACATGTAATCCACTAGATGTCTCTTGTTGCATTTGTAATTATTTTTCATAAATACTTACGTTCTTACCACTCTGTTTTATATAACTACGTGGACTGAATTTTTTTCTTTTAGAGGTTATAAACATTTTAGTGCCACACCGGTGGTAAAAAATAATTATCCAGTTTGTTGCAGACATTATTTATAACTAATCATAAATGTTCAAGTAAGTAATCATAAGTCAATTTTAATAATTACATAGCATTTTAAGTATTCATAAGACCACTTAAATCTACAATGCACGAATGTAAAGCCTTCATTTAGCGTGGATTTATTTGGACTTTCATACATGTAAATACTTACTTCTAAATTTCTTAAAACATAAAATGTCTTTACTTGTTTTAGAATATTTAGTTTCTCATCAGTATATATATATATATATATATTTATATATTAAGATGGTAGATATGGAAGAAAATAGCAGAAAAATAATTTTATCAACTTTAGAAAGAGGTATCGATGAGGGTGAAGAAAAAACAGTTCGAGAATCACTCAAACTATTGCATCAACTAGATCTCAAAGATGGTTCGTTTTCTCTTAAATCAAACTTAGGATATGATTTACTACGTCTTTCTTTAGAAAAGAAACATGCTAATATAACACAACTTTTAATAAAACATGGCATCGAAATCAACAGAACAATAGCAAGAAAAACTTGTAATACGCCTCTACACCTTGCCATAAAAAATAATGACTTAAATATTGTAAAGTTGCTTTTGAAGAATGGTGCCAATACTAAATATCTAAATTCAAAAGGCAAAACTCCTCTTTATCTTGCTGTTGAGTTAGACCATCAAGATATTGCTGAAATATTATTAAAAAAAGATGTTTCTGTGAATATTGATTGTCGAAGTAGCATGGCACCAGTTCTCGTAGCTGCCTCTAATGGTAATGACTATTTGTTTAATTTATTATTAAGCAAAGGTGGTAAACTCAATCTTAAACAATTTGATGAAGATTCAGCGTCAATGCTACAAGTAGCCATTGAACATCACTATGTAGATACAGTTGAAAAAATAGTTAAAAGTTACATGAATAAAAAAATTATTAATGATCCGAGTAACGAAAAATTATTAACAGTTGCGGTGATGAATGAGGGTAATATAAGTCGTAAAATTGTTGAACTTCTACTGAAAGCTAAATTCCCGATTGATTTAGATAATGCTAAAAATTCTAAATTTATTTGTGCTGCCCTACAAGAAAATCACTATCTTATTGTAAACCAACTTTTAAAAGTTGGTCTTGATCTTGATGATTACTGGGATGTATTGAATACCGCTTGCAAGCATAACCATATAGAAACTGTCGAAGCAGTAATTGATAAAGTTAAAGATAGTGACTATAAAGAACGCTTAAGTGACGATTCACCCTTATTATTTAATGCTATTGATAATATTCATTTTATTATCAAGGAAGCAGCTAGAAACGGTGAAGGCGTACTTCAACATCACATCAATATTTTCAACAGATGGATTGAAATAATGAAAATTTTCCTTAAAAAAGGTGTCGATGTGAATTTTTTAATAAAAAAAAGAACCATGATTTTTCCTTACAATTTACAAAATATAACATGTTTACATTATCTTGCGAATCATACTCCATCACATGTATCTTTGAGTCTTAAGCCCATAGCTAATTTATTGATAAGTGCTGGAGCTTGTACTAGAGCTTGTACAGGTAAAATAGGAAGTCATATCGAACCTCTCGATTATGCTATTTCGAAAGATAATCCAGATTTAGTTGAAGTACTTTTGCAGCATACTTGGGATATTAAAGATAATGTCGATAAAGTATCTAGTCTTCATTACGCAGCTAAAAATGAATCATCGATAATTATTGAAATGCTGTTGAAACGTGGAGCAAATGTTAATGTCGTCAATACTTCTGGTAATACTCTATTACACACGGCTGCCACCTCTAAGAGAATAAAAGTTATAGAATGTCTACTAGAACATAATGCTCAAGTCAATATCAAAAATTTAGCAGGTCAAACTCCTCTTCATTTGGTGGTAACTCGTGAAAGTCCATACAATGAAGATGTTATTGATATACAATGTATAGAAACGTTAATGAAGTACAAAGCAGATATAAATGCTACGGATCATGACTTAATGACACCGCTTCACTGTGCGGCTAAAAAATCTTATCATCCATCAGTAATTAAAAAGATGTTAGAGTATAAAGCAAACATTAATTCTATCAATAAAGTCGGATTAACGCCTCTGTTGGTTGCCGCTTCATTCAATAGATTGAGAATTGTTAAATTTTTTATTGAATCTGGCGCTAATATTTCTGATAGAAATAAATATGGTGAAACTTTTTTGCATCTTATAGCACGAAGATCTACTATTTCGATTGCTGAGATATTGGAGGATAATGTTAACGTTAACGTCTTGTCTTACAAAAATCAAACGGCGCTAGATTATATTGTAGAAGCTATACGTACTACTGGATTTTCTTATCGCTATCATGAAAACGCTAAAATTCTTATTAAATACATGTTGAAATTACACAATATCGGTGTGTTTATTTGCAAAGAGAATTTACAAGCAATCGACAAATATTTAAAACTATCGGATCAACCGGAAACAAAAAATAAATCTGATATGGTTGTCTTTAAAGCGGAATGCGAAAAAGAAGCCATACTGTTGAAAGAGAGTAAAATAGGTAATAGTAATATGACATTCTATAAACTTATTAAAAAATCTACTCATCGGTTGGCACAATACTTATTGAATAAAAGTGTTATTAGAGACACAAAGCCAATTCACTACAATAAAAAGTTTCCTATATACAGTGATTTTATTGCTAAAAATTTGAAGAGAGGATTTGAAAGGAAAAATATTCTGGATCAAGATACTGATGGTTTGATTAAAACGATGCTTTACAGCTTACCCGGTAGTTGTATTGATCAAATTTTAAGTTATTTAGATAATGAAGATTTAAAAGCAATAATTGCTGCTAATAAAATCAAAATGGAGACTAACCATATTTATACATCAGTGATCACCAGATCTCGTGCTACAAAAAAACTCAAACCTTGCAAATAGTTTAAATAGATCATCCTGGGATTAAAATTATTTTTAAATTAAAAAGTATTTGCTTTTTAAACTTACATTAAAATAAAAGTTATTTATTATTATTCATTTCGATAATACCAACATAATTGTTTTTATTTAATAATTTGGATTTTTGTAATAAATTATTCTCCGATTTTATTATATGTGTTCATCAATTCAAATTTTCTAAACATTGTTTTCTTAGAACCTTTATAAAATTGTAGTTGAACTTATTGAAAAAAAAAAAAAAAAAAATTTATATCGTTGCTTTTATACACAAATAGACCATGATTAACTAGATACTAAGTTAATTTTATAAAATTTAAACTATTTGATAATTGAAATTACTATAAGTTTGAAAATAAAAGTTATATTTGTCAAATAAAAAATCAGTTCTTATTAGGTATTTAAAAAATTTATTTTATTGTTTCTACATATTTAGATTAATATATAATTATAGAAAAATTAGCAAATCCAAAAAATTATATATTTATTATCAATATCTATAAATACAACCAGCTAATTATAATCACTTACAATCATTCAACTTAATTAATTAGTTAACGGGTATGTGGATAATAATTTAACACGTTAAATTGTAAACTTTTACCATGTTTTGTATGGTTTTAATACATCATCAAGCAACTGAAATAATTATAATGATAAACTATTGTAAAATCATTATAAAATGATTCACCACATACCCGTTAACTAATTAACTAAACGAATAGCTAATGTTCGAAAGTATTATAATTATAAGTATGTTATAGTATTTAAATCTTATTATAAACTCAAAAATTTTCAGATGCCTAATATTTTCACTATCATCATCATGCAAAAACATTTTTAGCTGTCGAATATTTTTCACTTGAGAAAACATTTTATATATTATATTTCTTGCCTAATTGACATTCATGACCCAAAAGGCTCTAAATAGAGCGATCAGTAAAATAGATTGCAAATGAAAATTTTGATATTTTTGTAAATTATTATCTTGGGATTTAAAAAAGAACTTCAGTTATTTATTCAAAATAATAAATGAATTTATACAAGAAACAAATTGAATTATGGCTTATGACTGTTTGAAAATAAAGTGAAGTACTGTTGACTTAGCAACAATCTATTAAGAATTTATATTCTTGACACAAAACGTTTATAGATTAAATATTGTATTGATGAGAGTTATTTAAAAAAAATCGAGTTTAGTTTATTTTTTGTTTTTTTTTTTTTTTTTTTTAAATATTGAAAACCGTCAAAATATCCTTAGATTAGGGCCATGTTAAAATATGAAATTTTAATATTGGTTCAAAAAAATGATCAAGGTATGGTTTTGCATGGAATTAAACGCTTTATAAGAAAGGACGAATGAAAATTTGCGTAAACAAAGCTATTTTGGAGATATCAAGTCGTAAAAATTGATCTGTTTGAAATTATGAATTTACTTTCTCATCAACGCTACAAAATCAACCTATATAACTTAAATACTTAATATTATAAACTTTTAAACAAAGATCTTGAATCAATCTACGCTCATAATAAAATTAACTCGATTTAAGCGACCAAATCTTGAAACAATCAAAATAAACTTAAGAAATTCTTATGTCTTATAATAGAAATATAATATTTTTGCTTTTCGCGAAAAATGATTCAAGACTAAGTACCATTCTGAGAAATCAATTGCTACGCACTAATATATTAGATATCCTATGAATACAGCAACTTTTAACGCCCGAAAAAATATTTCATTCATTGACAGCTAGTCATTGAATAATTTCTTAAGTTTATTTTTTCATTGCTTTTTTAGAATTTTTATTTATTAAAAAAATGGAAAAATCAATAAAAAATAATGATTCTCTTATAATAAAATTATCAGATTCAAGGTATAATTATTTTTACCAATATTTCTTCAAATTTTCCTACTGAACTAATCTTTTATATTTGATTACACATAATATTAGTATAGACAAAAAATTAGAAGAGTTTTCTAGCAAAAAATCTATATACGACAAATTTACTGAAGAAAATTTGCTAAAACTGTACCATGAATTTTTGGTAAAATTTTTAATGCAGCTTGGAAATTTAAATGACACTTAGGGCCAGTTTTTCAATCCGAGATAAAAATTTTATCTAGGGTAAAATTATTATTGCCAGTATATCTATAAACATGAAATATATAGATATATATTGGCATTGGATAAAATTTTATCTCGGATTGAAAAACTGGCCCTTACAGTATCAGTGCCTCTTTAAATATTTTATTATGTGTTTTTTTTTTTTTTTTTTTTTTTTTTTTTTTTTCTCAGGAAGTTGAAGGTGGTAGATTATATGAGCGTCAACTATTAGCAGCTTTTAAAAAAATATTAAACATCACAATTTCTAGAAAAGAATTTGATGCGTTATTTAAAAAAATCGATTCTTCAAGAGATGGCAGTATAACATGGGATGAATTTTTATCTCATCTCTTGTTAGAATTTCGATTAAAAGGAACAGCTGCTCTGAATTCGCAACCTCTAGAATTACCAATAGTTGATCCACCAAAATTAATACAAAGTCGACATCCTTATGCGATTTGTAAAATAATTTTATATACAGATATTTCGATTCAAAACGAATCGTCAAGAATGAGTTCGTGTAACTATCTAACTGCAAGCAAAGATGGTACTATTAATTATTGGTCAACGGATTTTGTTCATCAACGACAAGTCAAGGCTATTAATAGTAATTCTTAGCACCGAATAAGCATAAAAAATTAAAAATATTAATATTTTTTATAATAAATAATAAATTTTCTGTAGTTTCGTTAAAAGTATCCCGTACAATGATAATAGACATGATTGCGATGCCTGACGTAAGAATGATTTGTGTAACTTCATCAGAACGAGAACTTCGATTCTATGATACGACAATTAATAAATTTGAATTAAGAATGCGAGTAAGTAGAAAAGTAATAAACAAAAACTAATGAGTCAATAGATAAATTAATAAATCATTTTCTTTATTTTAGATACATAGTTTTCGAGTTGCAGTAGTGTGCATGAGTTATTATTTCAGTGAAAATTCATCAGATAAATCTTGTATAATAATGGGAGACACTAGTGGTTCTATTAATGTAATAAGATTTAATCGTATGGACAATAATCCCTTCAAACAACGGCCTGACTGTGACGTTTTTGAGATTCATTACGAGAGTGCTCTTAAAGTATATTGTTTTTATTAAAAAATTTTAATTATTTAAAAAAATTGTTGATCTTAGAATCAATTGCATTCAATCTAGTGATCGGTATAAAATAATTTTTACGTTTTGAAAAATTTCATATCCAGTTATGGAAATAGTTTTATTTATTTTCAATATGAAATAATGTTATTTGAAAGTAAAAAAAATTTATATTAAGTTTAAAGTCTTATAATAATAGTTTTAAAGTTACTGTCATATAAAATTATAAGAAAAAAAAGAAATTTGGAGGATTAAAAACTATTTTTTTTTTTTTTTTACTGAAATCATCACACGTGATGATATACTTTTTTACAATTTTCAATTTTTAAGAAAAACTGATAAATTTATGCTATATTTTAAAAATCAGTTTAATCAAGCATTATATTTGGCATTTTCTTCTTTCAAAAAATTGGGGTGAAGTCTATAATTTCCCAATTTTTTTTTATTATTCTAATAAAAAAAATTAGGAATACGGTTGACCCTGAAGGCCATCCCTGCAACTTCCCGCCAATTCTATACCTAAACGCTTGAAATTGCACTTATGACGTTTTACAATTTGTGTATTATTTTGAGCTCTCCGAGCTCAAAAAAAATAGCTTTTGTATGCTTTTGAGCTCTTCGAGCTCAAAAGTTTGATAGAAGTTTGATAAAACACTATTTTTTTTATTTTCAAATCGCAATAACTTTTGAATGAATAAACCGATTTTCACGCGGTTGGCGGCATTTTACGCAGTTTTTTAAGCCTCATAAAGAATTCTTAAGTTTCAATTGGTTAAACTAGAAACTTCGGAGTAATTCCGAAAAAACACTTTTTTCGGTTTTTTTTCGTTCACGATATCTCTTGAACGAATCAACCGATTTTGACCGGATTGGCGGCAATCGACGTGGTTTTTTAAGGTTGAGAGCTGATTAGTTTTTGAAATCGAACGGTAGAGCTGTTTAAAAGTTATTCCAAAAAAACCACTTCTGAAAAAAATTTTTTTCCTATTTTTTTTTGGAGATTTCTCTAAATTTCTCAAAATATATCGGTCTGAATCGATTCAAATTTTTAGGAAATCTAAGTTTAGTGAAGCCCTTTCGAATGGCACCAACCGCGATGAAATCGGTTCAACCGTTCAAAAATTATAAGAGGTTTACATACTTACACACACACACATACATATAGACATAGTGAATAGTGATACCCTCGCGGGAATAGTCAGGGAAACTTCCTAGGACCTCAAAACGTCGAGATCTGATGAAAACTCGATTTTCGAAAAACGGGGTAAAACCAATAACTTCCCGATTTTTGAAAATTTTCAATTTTCTTAGCGGGAAGTTAAAAATTGGTAAAAATCATTAATCTCTACTTCAATTTTATTAAAGAATATTACAAATTTAATCAAAAAATTATAAATTCTATCAATAAATAAACTTGTAATTTTTAGAGAACCATAAATGGCTTAAAAATCACAGCCTTCAATTATATTCATAGTAACTGGGTATCTCAAGTGAATTATTACAAAAGTTATCAAGCTTTTATTTCATGCTCAAAATGTTTTAAAACTTCTCTATTTTTCTGCGACATCACGGGAAGTAAAATGAAGTATAATTTCAATGTTCCTCTAGGAATATCATGTTTCGCTTTTCATGAAGGTTAAAGAACGACATTCTAAATAATTATATGTATATGTATATATAATACATAAACCTATAAATAATTTTATTTACAGGAAAGGAACTATTATTAACTGGTGGTCCGGACAGTTTAATACGCGCTTGGAATCCTTTTGTAGCAGATAGAGCCAGTGCTATATTTCAAGGACACCAATCACCTATATGCGCGATTATAATACACAATAGCGCAGAAAAAGCTTACACATTGTCAAAAGACAAATGTATTAAAATTTGGGACATTGAAACTCAAATTTGTATTCAAGTAAAAATATTCTTTTTACATTATATTTCATTAATGTTTAAAAAAAAAAATTACTTTTAATTAGACATACAACCAATTACCCAGTGAAGTTAGTGAATATACATCATTGTCGTCTGTTTATAATCCTGTTACACATCAATTAATTATAGCAAGTATGATGATCGCTGTGGTAGTTTGTGAAAAAACAATCGATAAAGATAAATCTGATGGTGAAAGTCACACTAAAAAAATTACTTGTGTTATTTATAATCCATTATTCGAAGTGGTTTGTATTTGCTTTATTGTTAATCAATTAGTTTGTATATTAAATTTTAATATTCGCTTTGAGGACAACACGGCTGCCCAATTTTAAAACACAGTAACTGTAAAATTTTTATACCTGATTTTTTTTTAGTATTGCTGCATTTTTTATAACTTTTAGACCTTAATTTCAAGTATTTTTTCTTAAAAATATTTATATTCAAGTATTTTCTATTCATAAATCAAATTTTTCATCAATTTGGCGGGTAAAATTTTTTTTAATAAGAAAAAGTAGAAAGATTTAAAAATGTTAGTTACTGTGTTTTGAAATTGGGCAGCCGAGCAGGATTAGCGTCAATGGTGAAAATTTTAAAAACTTCACGCTTAATTAATTACATATAATTTTTTAAAGGACACTTTCTCCGCCCAAAAAGACGGTATCATATGAATGTATAAGTTGAGAAAAAAAAAAGTTTGGAAAATCCAAAAGTGCACGCCTCATTATCTCATTTTCCACAATAAAATTGATTAAAATAAAATACAAGAAACAAAATAATAAAAAACAGAAAACTCTGCTATGGTTTAGTGGCACTATAATTGTAAGATGAGGAAAAAAAATACTAGGGTAAAAGACCCCATTAGTGGCGGGGACCCCATTACTGACACTTTCTTTGATTTTGGTACTTATTGAATTAATGAAATCATTAATATTTCAATAATTAATATATTATTTCTAATCTTTATGACTTTTAGATCAAAAAATTTTTTTATTTTTATTCATAGTAGAACATTTTTTCATTGAAAGAAAAAGTGCCACTAATAAGGGTTAAAGGTGCCACTAATGGGGTCTTTTACTTTATAATAAAATGTATGTATACACAGAAAAAAAAAAATTATCTACTTGAATCAAGTCAATAATTTTAAAGAACTTAATTTTCTTGATTTCAGTAGAAAAATTCTTAAACTAAAAAATTTTTCTTGGTTTAAGCAAATTTTATTGGATTAAAAAATTTTTCGTCTTGATTCAAGACAATAAAACTTTTCAAAATTATTTTCTTGGTTCAAGAATTTTTAACTTGATTCAATTTAACTTTTTTTTCTGTGTAGATATACAAATACACACAGTCGTATTTTAGTTGTTTTTAAATAATAATTAAACGACAGTGAATTGAACGCTCATATTAATTGAAAAAGTCTGCAGTGTGTTACTTTAAATGATAAAAAAAAAAATTATTCCGGTACGATAATTTTTTTGACCAATTTTCCTGCCACATACACTGATCCATAAATATATACAGATACACGGACGTCCAAGAAAGATTATTTTGAATGTTATTATTTACTATGTTAAACAAAATAATTGTTATTGAAATATATTTTATGTGCCTGACAGATTATTTAATTTGATATAGGTGCACTCTATTAATTTGTAAGTGCGATATAAGTAAAAAAAATCAATTTCAGTTTTTTGAGAAAACTGCTTTTTTTGACATGTCGAGAGTAGAGCACTACCTCAACGATTAGCTTATGAGGCGTGCAAAATGAGAATGCATGAGTTGAACTCAGAACGAATACATATAAATAAACTTTTTATTTACAATTTCTAATTATGATTATTTTAAATTAATTAGGTAATTACTACTGGGTCAGATTCTTATATAATTATGTGGGATCCTTGGCGAGGACGTTGTATATACGTAATTAGAAATGCTCATACTGAAATGTACCTAGGAAAACTCAGAGCAATTCCAATCAGTGCAGCAACCTTTGATCCATGTAATCAATTATTAGCTACTGGTGCAAAAGATGGTTCTATAAAAGTTTGGAGCTATAGTTCCGGTACTTGTTTAAAAACTATGATGATTAATCAGAAATGGTAATTTTTCAGTTATAAAATAATTGTTATCAAGGCTCTGATAAATAATTTCTATTAAGTTTGAGAACTTTTAGCAGTCCCGTTAATATTATCCTTAATATGAATTTTTAATCAGAATAGTAGTCATTTTTTTCCATTAGGGGTGGGAGGGGAGCAAAAAACGAAGTACTTAAAAAAATGCTTAGTTTTCAGGGACCAAAATATAAGAAAATCATTTTTTTTTAATATTATTCAAAAAAAATATAACAAATAGCGCATTTTAAAGTAAATAGAATATTTATTGAATGACTCTAGTTAAAAGGTTATTCGATTATTTAAAATTTATACTTTTCCACGGAAGCGCATCCACTTGCAGACAAAGACATGCATATGTATACGGAAAAAAGTAAACTGTAATAAATAACAGTTGATTTATAATAAGCTAAAAATTACCATTTCAAACAGTAAAATCGTGATTTTACTATTCACATTGTAATATTTACAATTTAAAAGTTACAATTTACACTTTACATGGAAAAAAATACTATTTCAAACAGTAATATTCGCTATATAAATGTCTAAAATGTTAAAGTATAATAATTAAGAATTCAGACTTTAATATTTATCATTTCGTATCTAAAAAATGATGTTATGTAAAAAGTATAAAATAAAGTTAGTAAATTTCTAATACAAGCAACGTCAATATTTACAAAGTAAAATGGTAAATTTTAAACGCAATGCTAAAAATCAAACTGTAACTATTGACTTGCTTGGATTGGTAAAATGTATATTTTAAAAGTATAATTTTTACTGTTTGAAATGTTAAATTCTCCCAGAGTGAGACCTCCTTCTCTTTCATCTGAATTCCCCTTCTCTTCATAATATGGTCTACACTGTTAAAAAAATATATTGTAAAATCAGAAGACTTGTATGCGAAGCGGCAATGTATTATACAAGTGTAATAGAAAATTACAAAATTCGGACCTCTGGTTTTAGTATACTATACAGCTTTAAATTTAGTGTGTAAATTTGGAATTGTATAGTGTACTTTCATTTCAAAGTGCAGGTATACTTTAGAATCTTGAGCACTAAGTATTAGAATTTTAGCATACGCTTATAATTTTAAAATTCAGGTAGCCCAATATTACAATACCGATTCCAAACGTCTATCCTCACTGCATTAAAATTTTAGAGTATAGCTATATTTTTAAAACTCAAGCAACTTGAAAATCATAATACCGATTCAAAAATTTTAACACTGATTAAAAATTTCGGACCTCTGAGTATTATAATTTGGGAATATATTTGTAATTTTAGAATTAGAGAATTTGAATTTTAGAATATATTAGTAATTTCTGAATTCGAGTAACTTGAATATTACAATATTGTTTTAATGTTATAATACTCAGTTGAAATTCATAATCTAAGAGAACTTTAGTTTTAACATATGTTTCTAGTTTTATCTTCTAGTAATATATATATATACTAGCTGTTACCCGCCCGCTTCGCTGGGCGCTTTATAAAATTGCATTTTTAGATTTAGACTTGAAATTTAATTATTGTTTTGATTTGCTTAGATTTTAATTGAGTATTAAAAGTTTAGTTAAAGTCATTGCAAGTCTCAAAAGTAAAGTTGAAATAATCTGTATAGCTTCAATTGCGAAGAATTTTTTTGTTATTTCAAGTTTTCTCAGTGACATCAATATTTTATAGAAAATAAATTTAACATTTTTTTTACGAATTCTATTTAAATAGGTAGCCAAATTTACTTTTCACATACCCAGTGTTTGGAAAATGCATTCATTTTAATCAGATACATTCCCGCGATCCCGCAATAAGAACAATTTATAAGTTATGTAATCAGCAAAAATAACATGTATATAAAATTCTTAATCCGTTGACCGAATTACTACATGTAATATTAAGTTTTGGAAACCTAACAATTACTTTTTTCCCCGCTGCTAAAGGAGACGTTTGGTGTAAGAAAATTTTTAGTAAATGTTATTAAATCTCAATAGATATGGTCGAAGTTTTATGTTTCAAAAAGTTCTAGTTTATAAACAACAGCATTTTCAGTAGATTTCATAGATATCTAACCAAACATACGATCAGCATATAAACAGAAATTTTCGACACTTAGTTCACCAAAAATAATTAGCTTCTTTTTCTTGAACTTTTTTTAAATGACGTTAAATCAATCAAATATCACGGTTATGTAATAAAAACAAAAGAAAATCTTATTAAAAACAAATGAATAAAAAATGGGAGTCTTTTGTTTTTCTTAGCGGGAAAAAATGTATGTAAAAATAAATCGTAAAGAAAATGAGAAACGGTTGATAAAATCCAAAAAATAAGTAGCCCATAACATCTACGGAAAATTCTGCGTCGAATGGTAGCGGTCCTATCCCGATAGCTTTAGTGGTTTTGACGTCAACTTTAGTCAAAGAAACCCTATTTCGCTTATTTATATTACACTCACGCATCCGCCCACGCGTCCACCCAAGCATCCACCCACCCATCCGCCCACGCGTTGGTAGATGGAACTAAATTCTCAAAAAAAAAAAAAAAACGTAATACCCTTCATGCCTAAATGAAATAATAAGTGAAATTTTCCACCCACGCATCCGCCTATGCATCCACCCACGCATCCGCCCACACGTTGGTACATGGAACTAAATTCTCAAAAAAAGAAAAAAAAAACGTAATACCCTTCATGCCGATAAAAAAACAAATGAATTTAAGAAAAATGCTCGTCTTTTGTTTTTATCGGCGGGAAAAAATGTTTATCAAAGTTAAATAGAAATAAAATGGTCAAGGATTGATGGAATTCAAAAAATAAGTAGCCTATAACCATCTACAATTCATTCCGCGTCGAATGGTCCCAGTCCCATGTCAATACGTTCAGTAGTTTTTGCGTGATTGACGGTCTACGAAACCCACTTTCAATATATATATATATATATATATTTTGGGATAGCAATAACAGCAATACAGTATTGCTTTGAGAGCGTTATTTTTCTCTTCATTTAACAGAAAGTTATATAGGAATGAAAATGAAACAAATTTTAATTTTGGTCAAATTTTCAAACATCTTTTCATGATAACTTGTATTAAATTAATTCTGGTCGGAACAATTTGGATAAAACTAATTCTTATTAAAAGTTATTTTGATTATGATTAATAATGATGATATAATTCAAAAGCTCATAGGCAGATTTCATGAAGTATATTTGATAGATCATGAAAATTTCAGAAATTATTGGACTAAATGAGTAGATATTTGATTATTTGTCTAGACTATTTAGGTACGCCAGGTACTGTGCATATAGGCAAGTTGGAAAAAAAATCTACACAAAAAGGAGTGATTTATTATAATCTTTATGACATCAAATTCAAAGTGATTATTCCCTCTAGATATATATTCACTTAAAATGTCATTAAGAGTTCATGAGAACATAGTTTTCAGGAGATACCAATCTACTTTTGGAGGTCATTAAATAACCCAGCATAGTTAGCTAATTATGACCTGGCTACAGTAGAAAAACCAATGACAAGCGCTGATTACCGAAAGAGGGGGTAAGACCCTAATAAATTTTTGGAGAAGGGATGCCGAGTAAGTTAACTTCTTGAATTGCTTTCAGAACTCAAATCATTTTTACGTCAAACTTTGAAGTGCAAACATCTCCGAGTGCAAGACCAAAACTCTAGTGAAAACTCTTACTTAAAACGAAGTTTTACATAAAATTGTATATTGTATAATCGCTTCATCAGAATAAAATGGCAAACAACAGTTTTGATTTTAAAAGTGTGTAGGAGTCGGTAAAATCCGGAGAAATGAGTGTCAACTCGGTGTTTCCTTGGGGACCGTACGATGAAATAATAAGTGTTCTACAATTCGCCATTATAAAGTCAGACGACGAATTCATCGATTTCTTATTGGCAAATAACGTTAGTCTGAGTAAGACTACTAAAAATTTTTGGAACGGCACTCGACTTAGCCATCAAGAAACAAAAACTTGACTTAGTGAGGAAATTAGTTATTTCTGGAGCTGAAATTAACCCAACACAACGTCTTAGTAAGACATCGCTTCCACTTCATCTGGCTATTGATGGTGGGAACTACGATATCACTGAGTTTCTGATTATGTCAGGTGCTGAGGTGAATGCGGAAGTTCCTAAAGCTACATTCAGCGGTGCTTCTTATAATTTTTCTGCTTTGAACCTGGCTATTTCTAAAAAGGACATCCGAGTAATTAAGTTACTATTGGATAACAACGCCATCATTGATCAAGGATCTGACGAAGTACACTCTTCTCTACACTTGGCTGCAAGGCTCGACAGAGTTGAAATTTTTCAGATTTTGGAGGAATTTGGAGTAAAATTTGAAGTGATCAAGGACCAAGATTACACGTTGGAGTTTGACGCAGCTATACGGCATGATAACATCGAGATTGTAAACTTTTTCTTTAAAAATTGTGACAATTTTTTGGATATTTCCGATTCCTATGGTGATACGGTAGCTCACTTGGCAGTTCAGTTTAGTTGTATTAATATTTTGCGTTATTTATTAGACTGTGGGACAAATATCAATATAATTAACTATGATAATTCCACTTTGCTTGACATCGCCATGGAGATAAATATTAATCACACACTTCGTAATCAGACAGAAAATCAATCTTTAGAAATTATCAAAGTAATTGAGGATCACATTATCAAGTTATCCGCAGCCAATATAATTGTTAATAAAAAAAATTTAAGAGCTGTGGATGGTGACATTTTCAAACCATTCCGTGAAAAATGCAAAAAAGAAATTAGCGAATTAAAAACCAAGAGAATCAGCAAAACAAATTTTAATTATTATAATGTGTTAGAAAAAAACTTACATAGATTAGCTGTAGGATTAACGAATTTAGATTATTATATTGACGAAATAAAAATATTGACTGAATTTCCTTTATATGGTAGTATTATGGTTCAAAAATTGCGAAGAGCGGTTTTAAGAAAAGAGCTAGTGAAAAATGCAGAAAACTTATATGAGATTTTTTACATGCATTTACCTGATTTAGTTGTAAGAAATATTTTTAATTATCTAAGTAGCGCAGACTTAAAATTGTTAAGTCAATAATTGTACAAATGTATGAAAAAAATATTGTTAATTTATAAATATTTTCTTGATAAAAATTTTTCTATTGTAAATAATAAAACATAGATTTTTTATTCTCAAATACTTCCCCATAACCCCATAACAAAGAAAATTTTTGTCTAGCAATATTAATTAAGATTTTTTTTACATATTATAGAATAAATTTCTTCATACCATTATGGAATAGATTCTCATATGATGGGAATAGTTACCATACTATTATTGGGAATCATTCTCATAAAATATAGGAGAAGTACACAGTAAAAATAAATAAATAAAATAAATAAATGTTAAATTTACACATAAAAGTGTTAAATATTCAACTCAAAATTTTTTAACGCAATGACGCAAAATTTTTTACTGTGTATCATTTTGCCTCCCTCCCATCTTTGAATTAATTTTTTTATTTTAAAATTTTTTTAGTAAAATTACAGCGATAATTTGGCTTAAAAATCGAATTCTTTGCACTGGTCAAAATGTCAAATACATAACAGAGTTTGCCGACACTGAAACAGGAATTTATCGAAAAATTTGGAAACAACAACATACTGATGGTATTACTTGTGTTGTTGTAAAAGTTCCTAAAACTCTTGTTACTGTTTCTGCAAATGGTGAACTTGTCTTGTGGTACTTAGAGTCTGGTCAGCCATATAAAATGCATCAAATTATTAATCCAATCACAAGGTTAATATTTTATATTATATTAATTATTCGTATAAAACACAAGCAATTGTTACAAAACATAAAAATGTGTAATTTTTGTCACTCATCAGACATACATATGAATTAGGGGAGTTTTTGGGGACTACAATACGATTAATCTTTTTCTTAGTTGTTTCCGAAGTAAATAGCAAAAATTTTCAGTTACCGCCAAAAAAATATTTTTACTTTTTTGGGGACAAAATAGGGTACCCCCTAAAATAATAAAAAAAAAAAAATTTTTTTCAGAAAATAAAAAATCATTTGAAAAAATAACTTAATTATCTCCCGGATAGTTTCTTGGTAATGAAGCCAAGCTTTCTTAAAATTATTTTTGAAAAAGATCCCAAGCTCCAAAAAACAAAATCTTAAAGAAAAATCGATTATAGTTTAATTTTAAGGGCATGTGCCGTCTTATATCGTTTTTTTAAATTATAAAATTTATGAAATAATATTTTATACTCAAAAAATAACAATAAAATAGTTAAAATTAATAATTTAATCAGCTTTGTAGATTATAAAAGTAATCAATATGAATTACTGGATATGAAAACAGACAATTTTAATAAAAAACAACAATTTACGAAAGCAACAGCGCTTGCTCTTTTATTTCTTACGTCGAGGCCAATGACACCTAATGTTGGAAGCTTGTTAGTATCTATGAATTCTGGACAAATTCAAGGATGGAGTTATCATCCGGCTGGTGGATTACTCGGAACTTTTTCAGCGATTCATAATGATAAAGATTGGTGTTTGAGTTTATCTACCGATCCAGATAACAGTTTTTTAATAACAGGTAAAATATATACATCGCGTGCCAAATCCCAAAAGGGGGTATTAGAGTAGCTAGATAGGGTTCCATGCCAAAAAAGCCTATAAAAAAAATTTTTTTGCTTCTCTTTTTAGAATCGCTTGAAACGTAAATATCTGCAGAGAAAAAATTTTTAACAGGGCGTATCTTAAAATACCCTTTTGGTTTTAGGAACTTTTTTTTTATTTTTAGGCTTAGAACATGTTTACAAAACGATTGGCAACAAAAAAAAAATTATACGCCCTTTTGGCATTTGGCACGCGACATGATTTGAATAGTTGACGAATTGTTACTTAAAAAAATTTATATTCTACAGGACATTTTTTAGGATATATTAAAGTATGGCTATTGACAAATTATTTAAATAAATCCTCTTCCAATGTCAATATCGCTAAATTAAAGTTAGAGTTTTGTTTTCTATGGAAAGATAATATCTTAGGTCGAGCAAAAAGAGCAGTTCGTAATCAAAAACTTCCTATGCTCTTATCTTCTTTTCGAGGACATACTATGTCTGTAAATTCTATTCAATTTATACCAAATGCTAGGCTCATTATTAGGTAGTTATGTGCTAACTTAATTTATTTATAGCATATAATTGTAACAATTTTATTTAAAATATTCTTTAGTGGAAGTGTGGATCGTACAGTTAGATTGTGGACTTTAGGCGGACAGTATATCTCTACTTTTGGAACCTTCAAGTCATGGAAAACAATTTTACCGAGTATTCCAGCAGCTACATACTATGAGGATTACGATATTCCACCGGACATTAAAAAAATCGGTTCTTCCACGACTATAAAAGTATGTAGTAACTTTGTTTTTATACTGTAATAATTTTTATTTTTAACTTCTCGTTGTATGATTGTTAAATGTTTTGTTCAAAAGATATATCTTTATAAAAAATTAAAATTATTTGTTTTATTAGTTGCTACTACATTTTAAAAATTTCTACTTTAATTTTTCAAAATTTAGGGGAGGGGGGGGGGGCAAAATGGGGTACCCCCAAAATTTCGTAAAAAAATTTTTTTTCCAAAAGCTCTTTAGCAGCTTTCTAAAATATATTTTAACGTCATTTCCTACAATTTCAGAGGAAAAAAAATTTTTTAATTAAAAAACAAAAAA